GTCTCAGTAGAATATATATTTTTGTTGTTGTATAAATATAATACAGGAAGGCACAATTTATAGTCCAATATTTACACGTGTTTTGGGGAAGGGGGGATGGGGGGCAAGTGTTTAAATGTGCAGTATTTAGCAATCATAATAAGAGTCTGGGAGCAGCAGTTGTGACTTACAGGAGGTTTTACTGCATGTGTGTCATTAGACTAGCTCGGTAAGTTGTAAAATATATTTGTATGAAATTATTTTATGGCCGGTTCAGATCATGTAGTAAAGGAATTCATTTTAATGTCCGTCTTTGAATAAATAGACACAAACCTAGCCAACTTTTTAAACAGCATTCATTGTGTGATAAAGCCAGAAGCACAGGTTCCTGAGTGCATCCATGGCTAACACTGTACCACATACTGTCAAACTGGGAGCATCATTTATATTGTGAAGATATGTTCACACTAGGACTTTTACTTTTATAAGGATTTAGTTTCCCAGTGGACTGAATATTCTTATGAAACCTATTTCTAATCTGGACTGTGGTTAAATATTTACAGAACTATCAAAAATGTTTTCTCATTACAAAATCACATTTTGTAATGTTTATAGTCAACAAATCAGTCAGTGAAATGCATGACTTGAAGCAGTATTACTTTGGAATGTCTTTCTTTGGGACTTCTCTGGAGTATATCAATGAGGTCACAATCACTACAGTATATACAAATATATTTTTGAGCCATACAATTAGCTTTTGGAGACTACCACTACTGTAGCAGTTACTCTGTATTCTGTTTAGTACCTGAATAATGTTGAAATGAGGAATTAGCCAAGATAATGGTGTACTGCTTTTGCCAACTTGCTGTAAAGATGTTTGCCTGCTCTGACAACAGATTGTTCAGCAAAACCCATTTTTGCACGATTTGCACCCACAGAGTGATCAGATATGGGTTGATGAGGTGACTTAATAACACAATGTATTTTGTTTCCTATCTCTGGCTTCTTAACATCCTCATAGAACCCTCACAGATATCCCACTGCATGTTCTCTGTATTGGCATATCAAAAATTCCCAGTTGTATCATTCATTGAAGTTTCTTCTTTTAATAGTCTTATGCAAACACAAATCAACAAAGATAGCCTACTTTGAATGCATGCCCTTCAACCTCATTGCTTAGCTTTTATGAGGATCTGATAGATGCTTTCTAAATCTGGACGTTTCTGTGGCTATTTTTATACATTGTTTTAAATCCTTTTTGGCAATGAATATTATGGGAAAAGGGAAACGTGCAACATACTGGAACTTGAAGTACGTGATAGTGAGTGCTTTAGTATCAACAAGCTCCATCAGAGGGGCTCATTCTTTCTAAACTACAATATAATACAAAATAAATGACATTGGGGAGATTCTCACCATTAAGACACTGTACTGTATGTCAGCCAAAAACATCCTGCTGTCTAATAAAGGCAGCATTAAGGGGAACTAAAAGTGTGTACACAGATGATGTCTCCAGGCTGTTGGGGTTATTGCCTAGACAGTTCTTAAAAAGCAATATAAAGAGGATTTGTGTTGTTGCTGTTTACTTTTTTTCTAAGAATTGTAGCAAAGGCAATGTGGTAACTGATGAATGACAGGCCTACCATCTACCTACATCAGTTAGGCCTATATCAGCTTGATGACAGGCCTACCATCTACCTACATCAGTTAGGCCTATATCACCTCGATGACAGGCCTACCATCTACCTACATCAGTTAGGCCTATATTACCTCAATGACAGGCCTACCATCTACCTACATCAGTTAGGCCTATATCAGCTTGATGACAGGCCTACCATCTACCTACATCAGTTAGGCCTATATCAGCTTGATGACAGGCCTACCATCTACCTACATCAGTTAGGCCTATATCAGCTTGATGACAGGCCTACCATCTACCTACATCAGTTAGGCCTATATCAGCTTGATGACAGGCCTACCATCTACCTACATCAGTTAGGCCTATATCAGCTTGATGACAGCCTACATCTTTAATTATATTATTTTGCATGCATAGCCCATTTGCTCCTTTCTTTTTTTAAATGTTGAAAATCCTTTACTCTTGACTCTCAATTAAAAGTTGATGTTAGAAAGTGCATTATGTTGCTCAATCCCTTTGGTGAGGTTGCCCAAGGTCTTGGAACTCATCTGTCTGGATGTAAAAAAATAAAAAATAAAAAATAAATAATTACAAGCGCAGCAAATGCTGATTCAAGTCTAGACCTCTAATCTGGCTATTTCATTTTCAGAAAGGCTGTTCTATTAAAGGGTATGGCTCCTGTTGTACAAGTCATTTTAACATCCTTAACCTGTCCTCTAGCTGTTTTCATCAGGCTTCCAAAAACTTCAGACCAGCGGTGAACTATTGTGCCCTTTGACTTCTCTCCCATCTCTTATTTGTCCATTTTAGGCACTTTAATCCTTTTGATTTCATTAAAGGTCAAATCCACTCAAAAACTTGCATCATCATGATGATGTGGCCGGAGACACTTTGCTTCTTGAAAGTCCAAGTTCTTGAAAACTTGACTGCTAACATGCAAAACATTTTGGGAACTGTATCAACAGTGGACCAATGAAAAAAATACTAAAATATAGTTTCTGAGTGGATTTTTCCTTTAAGCAAGGGGAAGGTCAAAAATATAGCCATTTAAAGTTTTCTGGAAAATTCATAAATGTTTATGTCAAATATCATTTTTATAAAACATGAGGGATCAGTTGTGCAAAACCTTTAAACCCCTTCCCTTTTTAACTCTGCAACATTTGCATAATCTAAGGGCCATATATCTGAAAGAAAACTTTGATGGAAAGTTTATAGGCTACATGTCAGTGCTTGCCTGTGTGTAGTGCTGTCATTGGACCATACGATAATCTATTTTGGTGCTATTGGTGTATCCCAATGCTTAATGCTTCTACTCTGAGCCGTTCCCTATCTTATCATCACTAATCATTCACTCCAACATTTCCTGGTGACAGCACTGTTAAGTGGAGCGAGCTGCCCAGTGCCTACACGACAAACAGTGTTCATTCTGTTGACCATGTCCACGGTTGTGTAGCTGGGTCAATCAGTTATCATCCACAGACAAATGTATTCAATAGGCTTTACACAATTAGTCTGTGTCAACATATAAACCGGGTGAGTGACCCACTCTGTTCTTTTCCATATATGCCATGGTAACATTGGTTACATTAAACTTATTGTTGGACATAATGACAGAAATCAAAGTTATTGCTGGGCATAATGACATAGAACAGTCTTGTGTCATGTCTAAAGAGCATTACAGATCACAATGGATGTGACCCCAAATGACCGTGTGTTACCTTATAGTGATCAGTAGTGACAAGGAGTAGCCTATTCTTCCACCTCCATTCTCTATAGCATGTGATCTTGTAATCCATACAACATGTCTCATTATTACGTGGGTTTAAGAATAACAACTTGGTAAAATGGGTATTTGTTTGTTTGGAAACACTGAAAGGCAATGGTGTGTGTCTTGATTCAGGCCTTCAGTTCCTTACTAAGACACAAACAGCTTCTTCTGAGAGTGATTGGCTATAGCAGTTAGAGTAGTGCCTGAATGGTTGGATTCATAGAGTCAAACAGAGAGAGTAGTGCCTGAATGGTTGGATTCATAGAGTCAAACAGAGAGAGTAGTGCCTGAATGGTTGGATTCATAGAGTCAAACAGAGAGAGTAGTGCCTGAATGGTTGGATTCATAGAGTCAAACAGTTAGAGTAGTGCCTGAATGGTTGGATTCATAGAGTCAAACAGAGAGAGTAGTGCCTGAATGGTTGGATTCATAGAGTCAAACAGTTAGAGTAGTGCCTGAATGGTTGGATTCATAGAGTCAAACAGAGAGAGTAGTGCCTGAATGGTTGGATTCATAGAGTCAAACAGTTAGAGTAGTGCCTGAATGGGTGGATTCATACAATCAGAGAGAGAGAGAGAGAGAGAGAGAGAGAGAGAGAGAGAGAGAGAGAGAGAGAGATAGAAGAGAGAGAGGAGAGAGAGAGAGAGAATCAGGAGAGAGATCGAAGAGCGCAGATGAGAGAGAAGAGAGAGAGAGAGAGAGTCTCTCTAGAGAGAGAGAGGCTTGAGTACGGTAGAGATCGCAGAGACAGAAGATCCTCGAGTCTATCTCTTCTCTTCTCTGAGAGGATCTCTGGGCTCTGGCTGTCAGCTGTGACCTTCCCACTGAAGTATGCTGCTGGGTTCAGCAGGTCTCAGCAGAGATTAACCACATTTGAAATTCACATGCAGATTGCAACCATAAAAAAATAGTTAACTTAGCAAATATAAAGAATGTTTGACTTGACAGCAAATATGTGATATTTTCAACTTATAAATCAAGTATATGAATGTGTTTTGGGCTTTTTGTATTTTACAGTACAGTATGTAAGTGGGTCTGTGTGGTAGTATTGATTCAATACTTTGATGGCCGTGACTCTAGTTGCGAAGGGAACATTGTGCAACTGTCTTCCATTAAAAGGACTCTATACCTCTGGTACTAGCAGCTCCTCCACCCTTCATTGACCAATCAGCACCCATGCTTTTAGCAGCACTCCCCTAGGCGGCACTGGGCAAACAGATGTGTCTGTTTCAATGTTTGTCAATGTTAGTTGCCTAACCATTTATCAGTGGTCAGTAAGTACCCAGGCAGCTGGGTTCTGTCTTGCCTGTGTGTGCATTAGAAATAACATTTTTTAAGTAAAAAAGGAGAGAGAGAGAAAGATGGCTGCTCTCCCTCTCCCTCCCCCTCTCATGGTGTGTGGGCTGTTGACCTGAAGATGTGGACTTATTGTGGTGCATTATTGCCTCCCTCTGAACACAATCGTGGACCAGATACCCTCTCCCGCCCTCCCTCATTACCTATTATCCACCCATTCCTCCTCCCCTGTTCCCTCCCTCCTCAGGGGGGCGTCACCGTACCGTAGTGGTGATGGTTCAGTAGCTCGGGCCAGGGGCATGGCAGGGGCAGAGCTTATGAAGAAAGATATTTTGGGGAGGAGTAAAAAATAGCCTGGCACTCTACGCTGGTTTACATGTCAGAGAACTTGAGCTGTAGGGAGTGACAGACAGAGGTAGTGAACTTTACATAGAGCCTGATCCATGTCTGTAGTCCATGCGCTCCCTGTGTGGCATGCTTCCCTGTGACTTCCTGTAGGAGAGGAATCTAGGGAAGTTATCCGTCCGGTCCGCGTGAGGTGCACAGGACCTTTGAGTGACTCCATATATAACAAAGTTGAAACTTGAATACCATACATTCGTCTTTGTCTTCCTGACAGGTAGGTGTTGCGTTTTGAGGAGTCTGCATATACTTGTAGACATAATATGCATTCTATCTATCTATAAATCCATCTATTGATTTGAATTGTCGACTTCGGGGCCCACTTGATATTATATGTGTATGAGTTGTAATGTTAGCTCGTAGTTGTAATAACTGCTTAAAAAGTTGTAATAACTGCTGAAAAAGTTGTAATAACTGCTTAAAAAGTTGTAATAACTGTTTAAAAAGTTGTAATAACTGCTGAAAAAGTTGTAATAACTGCTGAAAAATTGTAATAACTGTTTACAATGTCAGCTTTTATAATGGTAGTACTTAAAGTGTTAGTGTTACATGGCAGCCTCTATCAAAGGGACGTGGTGGGGCATTATGAGGACCTTCCCACTGTTTAGTGCAACTCAACTGTATTCTGAATTGGCCATAATAGAGGTCAGATTGGTATGTTAATGTGCTGTCAGATGGAGCATGGCATTTCTCTTGGACGAAAAGGGACGCACTTTAATGGGCAACAATGCACAGTGAGATGGTAGTCAGTGTTAATTAAAAACACAGTGAGATGGTAGTCAGTGTTCATTAAAGACACAGTGAGATGGTAGTCAGTGTTCATTAAAAACACAGTGAGATGGTAGTCAGTGTTAATTAAAAACACAGTGAGATGGTAGTCAGTGTTAATTAAAAACACAGATGCTAAATGTGCTGGTTGAAAATAAGAAGATTTAACTTCAATCACATGCTGAAACTATTCATTAGAGAGCAGCGGGTACAAACAGTTCTTTACTCCAACTCATAGACCTAGACTACATCAAATGAAAAACCTGGATATAAATATGTTTGTTGAAAGATTTTGTTGGGAGGCTCCCCAACAATCAAAGTAATACAAAGAGACAGTGTTGTATTAAAACTCAGCGAGGCTATACGTTTGAACTTCCACATTTTCTCTTTATAGATGTACGGTACAGCAATTAGTAACCAGAGCCAAAGTAATGGCCCTATTATATCATATGAGTACATTCAGGCCCCCTGTTCAGCCGTTTGAGTCTTTAGGTTTGTGTCCCAAATGGCACACTATTCCCTTTATAGTGCACTACCTTTGATGGGCCTTGGTCAAAAGTAGTGCACTATAAAGGGAATAGGGTGCCATTTCTGACCCCAGTATAGGTCTGCATGCACCGTACCCCCGGACAAAGGGTTATAATGAGGTTACAATGAGGATCTGCGATAGTGACAGCAAAGTGTTGGCCAATACTTTCATCTTCTGACACACATATGTCATGGTTAATCAATGGTTTGCTCTTAACGGCTTTCAGCTGTCAAAATCTGGCCTTGGTTTTTATTTCCCAGGTTATGTAATTGCAGCTTGAGGCGTTTTTATAGGATTCATGAGGGGACTTTTTAGAAAGGGCTGCTCAAACTCAGAGGAAGCCCCGTGCCAAAACAAACTGGCATGCTGAAAGACTTCAGGCTTCACAATGGATTTTCCTCCTGAATGCAAAAACGAGCCCCTATCCAAATATATACAGCAAGAACATCAATAGTAACCATGGTGTGAACTCAACTGTCTCTTGTAGCTTTAATACTATAATAAAGAAAAAGCATTTCTTCAGCTTTTGTCTGTGTTCTGTGTCGAACCATATACTGTGTGCCGCACTATACACACACACACACACACACACACACACACACACACTAAACCATTCCCCCCCCCCCCCCCCCCCCCCCCCCCCCCCCCCCCAGTCCTTGTTGGCAGGATGATGGGTCATGTGTTGTCGTTCGGCCGCTCCCTGGTGAGGAGGAAGGTAGTGGACCTCAACAGTCTGGAGGACTCCAAGCTGTGCCGTTGCCTGGGTACTGTGGACCTCATTGCCCTGGGCGTAGGCAGCACCCTGGGGGCTGGGGTCTATGTCCTGGCTGGAGAGGTGGCCAAGGGAAACTCAGGCCCCAGCATCGTGGTCTCCTTCCTCATCGCTGCCCTGGCCTCTGTCATGGCTGGCCTCTGCTACGCTGAGTTTGGAGCCCGTGTGCCCAAGACTGGCTCTGCCTACCTCTACAGCTATGTAACTGTTGGAGAGCTGTGGGCCTTCATCACTGGCTGGAACCTCATCCTCTCCTATGTGATAGGTGAGTTTGTTATAGTGGTCTAAATATACTATACTGCCCACATGAACTTTTCTTTTGAAGTAACAGATACTATGCTGAGTTTGACAATGCTAATGAAACATAAAGGTAGAACAATTCTACTCAATATTCCCCTTTCACAGGCACCTCCAGTGTGGCCAGGGCTTGGAGTGGGACGTTTGATGAGCTGATTGGAGGACACATTGAGACGTTCTGCAAGACCTACTTCAGCATGAACTCTCCAGGCCTGGCTCAGTACCCAGACTTCTTTGCAGTCTGTCTCATTCTACTTCTGTCAGGTAAAGTACTGTAGCAACTGTGGCTAACTGAGCTCCTGTTTAGAATTCTACTTCTGTCAGGTAAAGTACTGTAGCAACTGTGGCTAACTGAGCTCCTGTTTAGAACTCTACTTCTTTCCGGTAAAGTACTGTAGCAACTGTGGCTAACTGAGCTCCTGTTTAGAACTCTACTTCTGTCAGGTAAAGTACTGTAGCAACTGTGGCTAACTGAGCTCCTGTTTAGAACTCTACTTCTTTCAGGTAAAGTACTGTAGCAACCGAGGCTAACTGAGCTCCTGTTTAGAACTCTACTTCTGTCAGGTAAAGTACTGTAGCAACTGTGGCTAACGGAGCTCCTGTTTAGAACTCTACTTCTGCATCCCAAATGGCAGCCTATTCTCTTTGTAATGCACTAATTTAGGGCCATAGGGCCCTGATCAAAAGTAGTGCACTATATAGGGATTAGGGTGTCATTTGGTACGTAAACTACATCTCATCCCCTGACTGTCTGAAGTTTATATCAACAGAAATTGGAATGGGTATCTTTTCCATATCAATGGGCACTCGTCTTAGCAGCAATATTTTGTTCCACATCTTCAATGTAATAAGGAATGGCAAAACGTTGTTTTATGAGTGGTAGTACTAACATGGTGGAGAGGCCCTCTTTCCCTGAACGTCTACCTTGTGTCAGAGCTACCCAGGCAGAGGTGCTCCTCTCTGTTCAGGACAACTGACAAGCCCTCTGTAGCTACCGTTACACATTACACACTACACAGGAGCTTGACATGGCTAGAGAGTTCACCACTTTCAGAGGGACACGGTGTGTCGATGTCAACAAGACTTTTCTGTGAAACAATCAGAAACTGTTAAATGTCATCATGTGTTTTCACTGCTGCTGAGCCAAAAACTCTCAAATGCAGTGATTGGATTACTCCAATGTTCCGGAGGCAAACCTCCATAGCGATGCAATGTTTGCTGTTCTAAAGGTCTTAGATACTGGGAGTAGCGGTGTTAGTTACCTAGAGTTAGAATATGATAATAATAGACCTTTCTGTTTGGATCACCTGCCAAAATGACCAGAAATGTTTCAAAACACCAGAGACTTAATTAAAGTATGTGTTATGTAATGTATGTGTTATGTAACACTAAATACATAATCTCAGATCATAGTTGCAGGTATTAAACAAGATGTAAGATACATATTTCACCTTTACTCAATGCATGTGCTGGAGGTGTGTAACATTCTTCACATATCATGGACACTCTAATGTCTCAAGCCCAGGGTTGGGTAGGTTACTTTCTAAATGCAATCTGTTACAGTTACATGTCTAAAATTGTAATCAGTAACTTAATTTTTGGATTACCCAAACTCAGTAACGTAATCTGATTACTTTCAGTTACTTTTGTATGACTTTCCCCTTAAGAGGCATTAGAAGAAGACAAAACGGATCCATCAAACACATTTGGTGTATCATCATAGTGGTCTCTGAATTGTAGTCAAACTTAAACTTAAACTTGTTATTGTATTTTTTTTCGCAAACATCCTTTCCGAATTTAAAAGTAATCAAAGAAGTAATCATCTAGTTTTTCAAAAGTATGTGTGATCAGATTACAATATTTTAGCTGGTAACGTAACGGATTACAGTAACAGTTTTTTTGGTAATCAGATTACATGTCATCATTTACTCCCCCAACCCTGCACATGACACTGTGTATGTGTTCAGTAAGTTGAGTCGCTGATGTGGAGGATGTTGGACTCTATATTCTATATTCTTCTTCTTTATTTTCTCCCTCAGGCCTCCTGTCGTTTGGGGTGAAGGAGTCAGCCTGGGTGAACAAGGTCTTCACTGCTGTCAACGTGCTGGTGCTCCTGTTTGTCATCGTCTCTGGCTTCGTGAAGGGAGACCCACTCAACTGGAAAATCTCTGAAGAAACTCTCATCAATGTCACCATTGTCAAACGGTAAGGATTGGAGGTGACCTGACTATTGTGAGGACACTAAGTGTTTCACAAGATTCCTGATGGATGTGGTTTGTGTGGTGCAGCGGTTAGTGCCGCGGACCCTGGCACAGAGTCAGCATAGTTTCATGGGTCCAACCCATACTCTTATGACTCAAAATCTCCTCTTCACTGTCCTGTCTCAATAAATACATGATGTGTCTTCAGAAGGTATTCACACCCCTTGACTTTTCCACATTTTGTTGTGTTACAAAGTGGGATTAAAATGAATTTAATTGTAATTTTTTGTCAACGATCTACAAAGAATACTCTGTAATGTCAGAATGGAAGACAAAACTCTAACATTTGTAATAAATGTAAGAAAAATAAAACACTAATATATCTTGATTACATAAGTATTCAACACCCTGAGTCAAAACATGTTAGAATCACCTTTGGCAGTTATTACAGCTGTGAGTCTCTAGATCTTTCCACACCTGGATTGTGCAACATTTGCCCATTATTATTTTCCAAAATTCTTCAAGCTCTGTCAAATTTGTTGTTGATCATTGCTAGACAACCATTTTCAGGTTTTGCCATAGATTTTCAAACAGATTTAAGTCAAAACTGTAACTCGGCCATTCAGGAACATTCACTGTCTTCTTGGTAAGCAACTCCAATGTAGATTTGGCCTTGTGTTTTAGGTTATTGTCCTGCTGAAAGGTGAATTAATCTCCCAGTGTCTGGTGGAAAGTAGACTTAATCAGGTTTTCGTCTAGGATTTTGCCTGTGCTTAGCTCCATTTCATTTCTTTTTTTATCTTTAAAAACTCCCCAGTCCTTAACGATTACCCATAACATGACGCAGCCACCACTATGCTTGAAAATATGGAGTGGTACTCAGTAATGTGATGTTTTGGATTTGCCCCAAACATAACACTTCATATTCAGGACAAAATGTTAATTGCTTTGCCATATTTTTTCAGTCTTAATTATTTATATATTTTTATATTTAACCCTTATTTTACCAGGTAAGTTGACTGAGAAAACATTCTCATTTACAGCAACGACCTGGGGAATAGTTACAGGGGAGATAATTGAGGCAATTAGAAGCTGGGGATGATTAGGTGGCCATGATGGTATGAGGGCCAGATTGGGAATTTAGCCAGGACAGGGTTAACAGCCCTACTCTTACAATAAGTGCCATGCGATCTTTAGTGATCAGAGTCAGGACACCTGTTTAACGTCCCATCCGAAAGACGGCATCTTACACAGGGTAATGTCCCCAATCACTGCCCTGGGGCATTATGATATTTGTTTTTAGACCGTCCCTCCAACACCACTTCCAGCAGCATCTGGTCTACCATCCAGGGACAGACCAGGACCAACCCTGCTTAGCTTCAGAGGCAAGCCAGCAGTGGGATACAGGACTTTAGTGCCTTGTTGCAAACAGGATGCATGTTTTGGAATATTTGTATTCTGTACAGGCTTCCTTCTTTTCACTCTGTCAATTAAGTTAGTATTGTGGAGTAACTACAATGTTGTTGAATCATCCTCAGTTGTCTCCTATCACAGCCATTAAACTGCAACTGTTTTAAAGTCACTATTGGCCTCATGGTGAAATCCCTGAGCGGTTTCCGTCCTCTCTGGCAACTGAGTTAGGAAGGACTCCTTTATCTTTGTAGTGACTGGGTGTATTGATACACCATCCTAAGTGTAATTAATAACTTCACCATTCTCAAGGGGACATTCAATGTCTTATTTTCTCAAATGTTTACCCATCTTCCAATAGGTGCCCTTTCCCTGGTCTTTGTGGTTGAATCTGTGTTTGAAATTCACTGCTTGACTGAGGGACGGACCTTACAGATAATTGGATGTGTGGGGTACAGAGATGAGGTAGTCATTCAAAAATCACGTTAAACACTATTATCACACACAGAATATGCAACGTATTATGTGACTTATTAAGCACATTTTTACTCCTGAACTTATTTAGGCTTGCCATAACAAAGGGGTTCAATACTTATTGACAAGACATTTCAGTTTTTCATTTTGAAATAATCCATTTTAAGTTCTGGCTGTAACACAACAAAAATTTGGAAAAAGTCAAGAGGTGTGAATACTTTCTGAAGGCACTGTATGTTTAAAAATAAAAATAAATTATGCATGATAATAATCTATACGCTCACAATCAATCACCATATGTCCCACTACTAATAATATGAACACTGAAATGAGGCAGTTACGTTTCCGTATGCCCCTCTGTTTACGTACTGTATGTATTCCAGGAACCTGTCTGTGACTGCTAATGTGACCAGTGATTATGGTGCAGGGGGGTTCATGCCCTTTGGCTTCAGTGGGACCCTGGCTGGAGCTGCCACCTGCTTCTATGCCTTTGTCGGATTTGACTGCATCGCAACAACAGGTGTGTCTTTTAAGACAATACCCATCATCAATGTAGATCATTCCCTCTCAAAACATGCACTATCATGGATCAACGAGGTACATTGCTGCAGAGTCAAATAATCACAGAGGTCAACCTAAACCACTTGGGGATCTGAATCTGAATTTGATCTGTATCTGTGTGTGTGTGTATACACCAGGTGAGGAGGTAAGGAACCCTCAGAAGGCCATTCCCATCGGCATTGTGGTGTCCCTGACGGTGTGCTTCCTGGCATACTTCGGTGTGTCTGCTGCCCTCACCCTCATGATGCCCTACTACCTACTGGATGAAAAGAGCCCCTTGCCCATGGCCTTTGAGTACGTGGGCTGGGGCCCGGCTAAATATCTGGTGGCTGTGGGGTCACTGTGTGCCCTGTCAACCAGGTAATGGACATTTCCTATACATGCTTGAATGTGATGCTATTCACAGGATGCTTACCGTGTAGCTTTCCGTTAGGTCAAATGTGATGAGACTCAATAAAGACATAGTAATATATAAAATAACAGGTTTTTAATTGTTTTAGAGTTCAAACAGATCTATAACATTGAGCATTATTATCAAGGCAACTAGCCTTTCCAGCCCAAAATAATGTGAAATCTACAATGACTGTCTATGTGTTGGATTGATTCTCATTGTTAATTGTCCTACCTGCCAAGCTGCAGTCCTATTGTTTTGAGAGAACTGCCTGTCTTGATGTGCTATATCTCTGGGTTGATGATAGGCCGTTTGACTTGGCACTGTTTCAATACAACAGTCTAAGCATGTTCTGTTTCTGGCTTTCTTATCCTTTGGTTCACTGAGTTCCTTCCTTGGTCCTGGGCTTCCCACTATAGAGCCTCATACTGTAACTCACATATCACATCAATCTCTGACAACTCTACTTAAATCATTATTGCGCAATACATTGCATTCGGAAAGTGTTCAGACCACTTCCCTTTTTCCACATTTTGTTACGTTACAGCCTTATTCTAAAATTGATTAAATATCTATTTTTTCCTCATCAATCTACACACAATACCCCATAATGACAAAGTGAAAACAGGTTTTTTGAATCTTACACATTTACATAAGTATTCAAACCCTTTGCTACGAGACTCGAAATTGAGCTCAGGTGCATCCTGTTTCCATTGATCATCCTTGAGATGTTTCTACAACTTTGATTGGAGTCCACCTGTGATAAATTCAATTGATTGGATATGGAATTTGGAAAGGCACACACCTGTCTATATAAGGTCCCACAGTTGACAGTGCATGTCAGAGCAAAAACCAAGCCATGAGGTCGAAGGAATTGTCCGTAGAGCTCCGAGACAGGATTGTGTCGAGGCACAGATCTGGGGAAGGGTACCAAACAATTTCTGCAGCATTGAAGGTCCCCAAGAACACAGTGGCCTCCATCATTCTTAAATGGTAGAAGTTTTGAACCACCAAGACTCATCCTAGAGCTGGCCGCCCAGCCAAACTGAACAATCGGGGATGAAGGGCCTTGGTCAGGGAGGTGACCAAGAACCCGATGGTCACTCTGACAGAGTTTTTTATTTTTATTTGTAATACATTTGCTAACATTTCTAAAAACCTGTTTTTGCTTTGTCATCTTTTATATATTTTTCCTTTATTTAACTAGGCAAGTCAGTTAAGAACAAATTCTTATTTACAATGACGGCCTACACCGGCCAAACCCGGACGACGCTGGGCCAATTGTGCGCCTCCCTATTGGACTCCCAATCACGGCCGGTTGTGATACAGCCTGGAATCGAACCAGGGTGTCTGTAGTGACGCCTCAAGCACTGAGATGCAGTGCCTTAGACCGCTGCGCCACTTGGGAGTCATTATGGGGTATTGTGTGTAGATTGATGGGGGAAAAAACTATTTCATCCATTTTAGAATATGGCTGTAACGTAACAAAATGTGGAAAAAGTCAAGGGGTCCGAATACTTTACGAATACACTGTATATACCTTATTAAGTCAAGGTGGATCATAAAGCAGGTGTCCCCAACTAGATTCCCCTGTGGGCCGATTTTTTTCTTCAGCGGATGGTCGGGGGCCAGAAATAGTTATAAATAATTTGTACACAAAAATTGACCACAAATATCCAAACAGATATAGTATTTGACAAAAACGGAATAATTTCAAACCTTGATTACATTGGGATACAATCACATATGCCTCTCTATTTATGCGTGGGAATAATTGGGAACAGATTTTCTAAATATGCATTTTTTGCTGATTTAATAATAAATTAAAGAACCCGCCGGCTGCCTATTGGGGAATCCTGATATACTGTACATATTGGTATTAAGCCCATTAATACATCAATAACTCTCCTCTCCTCTGGGTCTTCTGGGTCCTCTGGGTCTTCTGGGTCCTCTGGGTCTTCTGGGTCCTCTGGGTCTTCTGGGTCCTCTGGGTCTTCCCTCAGGCCTTTTAAAGTCTGCAAAATAACACCTGAGCAATGTCCTATTTGCAATAACCTTCAGAGAGGTTCAGGAAAGGTGATATAGTGGAGATGCTGTCAGCGACCGTTGGACGAATGGGGCCATAAGACAAGAAAGACACTCTCTGTTATTATGCTCTTTAGCTTTGCTGAAGTGACTTTCGTGTGTGTATTGTGGGTGTGTGTGTGTATTGTGTAAGTGTTGGTGTGTGTTGGGGGCTCCTGACTAACGTGTTGGTCCTTGTGCATGTCTCTGCTGTTCCATGCAGTCTGCTGGGTTCCATTTTCCCTATGCCACGTGTAATCTATGCTATGGCAGAGGATGGGGTGCTTTTCAAAGCCTTAGCCCGAATCAATCCTAAGACGAAGACCCCGCTTATTGCCACAATGAGCTCCGGTGTAGTTGCAGGTGAGAGCTGGGGAAAGTGCTTTGACATCACTGCTGCTGAAACTGTATCCACCAATCAACTGTGAAAGGAAATTATGCAGATAAAATCTCCCAAAAAGAGAGTAACAAGTCCGGTGACTGTGGAAATTCACCAAAATGTCCCCCCAACCCATGTTTTGATTAATTATGATTGGTCAAAACATTTGTAGAAGCTTCAGTCCTATTTGGTCAGAGTTTTGCGGGCTTGGTACAGACGTACACTTTATTCTTTCACAGTTGTGCAGGTGTCCATTCCTTTTCAGAGTGCCTTGTGTTTGAACCCTGACCCCTTTCTCTCCCTAGCCTGTTGGGCTCCATGTTCCCTCTGCCCCGCATTCTCTTTGCCATGGCACGAGATGGCTTACTGTTCAAATTTCTTTCCCAAGTGAGTAAGCGCCAGTCGCCTGTGACTGCCACCATGGCGGCGGGCACTACCGCGGGTAAGCTCCTGAGGAGGCCTGGTGTGGCATCTCGTCTGGTGTGGTTACGTTGTGTCATCGTTGGGTCAACATTGTGCATCTGATTCTGCACTGGTGATGACTGCATGCCAATGATGTGCTGCTGGTGGTGGAAGCATGATGGAAAAATCCCTTTCACATCAATCAAACTCTCTGGATGGACATGCCCCATCCATTCAGTTAGGCATAGTAGTAGGCCTAATTATCAGTAGAGCAGGGGTACACAGCTCCAGTCCTCGAGGCTTTTGAATCCCTCTGTTGTTCCTAACTGATCAATTAATTTATCAGAGAAGCCACACAGCTGGTTACCCAGCCAGGCCTATCAATCTCTGATCAGAAGACAGACAAAAGCCAGCGTAAACTCCCTCAACCCTAGAGGACCAGAGTAGTGTTGTAGCCCTGCAGTCAGTAGACCTATAGAGGACCAGAGTAGTGTTGTAGCCCTGCAGTCAGTAGACCTATAGAGGACCAAAGTAGTGTTGTAGCCCTGCAGTCAGTAGACCTATAGAGGACCAGAGTAGTGTTGTAGCCCTGCAGTCAGTAGACCTATAGAGGACCAGAGTAGTGTTGTAGCCCTGCAGTCAGTAGACCTATAGAGGACCAGAGTAGTGTTGTAGCCCTGCAGTCAGTAGACCTATAGAGGACCAGAGTAGTGTTGTAGCCCTGCAGTCAGTATACCTATAGAGGACCAGAGTAGTGTTGTAGCCCTGCAGTCAGCAGACCTATAGAGGACCAGAGTAGTGTTGTAGCCCTGCAGTCAGCAGACCTATAGAGGACCAGAGTAGTGTTGTAGCCCTGCAGTCAGCAGACCTATAGAGGACCAGAGTAGTGTTGTAGCCCTGCAGTCAGTATACCTATAGAGGACCAGAGTAGTGTTGTAGCCCTGCAGTCAGTAGACCTATAGAGGACCAGAGTAGTGTTGTAGCCCTGCAGTCAGCAGACCTATAGAGGACCAGAGTAGTGTTGTAGCCCTGCAGTCAGCAGACCTATAGAGGACCAGAGTAGTGTTGTAGCCCTGCAGTCAGTAGACCTATAGAGGACCAGAGTAGTGTTGTAGCCCTGCAGTCAGTAGACCTATAGAGGACCAGAGTAGTGCTGTAGCCCTGCAGTCAGTAGACCTATAGAGGACCAGAGTAGTGTTGTAGCCCTGCAGTCAGTAGACCTATAGAGGACCAGAGTAGTGTTGTAGCCCTGCAGTCAGTATACCTATAGAGGACCAGAGTAGTGTTGTAGCCCTGCAGTCAGTAGACCTATAGAGGACCAGAGTAGTGTTGTAGCCCTGCAGTCAGTAGACCTATAGAGGACCAGAGTAGTGTTGTAGCCCTGCAGTCAGTAGACCTATAGAGGACCAGAGTAGTGTTGTAGCCCTGCAGTCAGTAGACCTATAGAGGACAAGAGTAGTGTTGTAGCCCTGCAGTCAGCAGACCTATAGAGGACCAGAGTAGTGTTGTAGCCCTGCAGTCAGTAGACCTATAGAGGACCAGAGTAGTGTTGTAGCCCTGCAGTCAGTAGACCTATAGAGGACCAGAGTAGTGTTGTAGCCCTGCAGTCAGCAGACCTATAGAGGACCAGAGTAGTGTTGTAGCCCTGCAGTCAGCAGACCTATAGAGGACCAGAGTAGTGTTGTAGCCCTGCAGTCAGTAGACCTATAGAGGACCAGAGTAGTGCTGTAGCCCTGCAGTCAGCAGACCTATAGAGGACCAGAGTAGTGTTGTAGCCCTGCAGTCAGTAGACCTATAGAGGACCAGAGTAGTGTTGTAGCCCTGCAGTCAGTAGACCTATAGAGGACCAGAGTAGTGTTGTAGCCCTGCAGTCAGCAGACCTATAGAGGACCAGAGTAGTGTTGTAGCCCTGCAGTCAGTAGACCTATAGAGGACCAGAGTAGTGTTGTAGCCCTGCAGTCAGTAGACCTATAGAGGACCAGAGTAGTGTTGTAGCCCTGCAGTCAGTATACCTATAGAGGACCAGAGTAGTGTTGTAGCCCTGCAGTCAGTATACCTATAGAGGACCAGAGTAGTGTTGTAGCCCTGCAGTCAGTATACCTATAGAGGACCAGAGTAGTGTTGTAGCCCTGCAGTCAGTATACCTATAGAGGACCAGAGTAGTGTTGTAGCCCTGCAGTCAGTAGACCTATAGAGGACCAGAGTAGTGTTGTAGCCCTGCAGTCAGTAGACCTATAGAGGACCAGAGTAGTGTTGTAGCCCTGCAGTCAGTAGACCTATAGAGGACCAGAGTAGTGTTGTAGCCCTGCAGTCAGTATACCTATAGAGGACCAGAGTAGTGTTGTAGCCCTGCAGTCAGCAGACCTATAGAGGACCAGAGTAGTGTTGTAGCCCTGCAGTCAGCAGACATATAGAGGACCAGAGTAGTGTTGTAGCCTTGCAGTCAGTAGACCTATAGAGGACCAGAGTAGTGTTGTAGCCCTGCAGTCAGTAGACCTATAGAGGACCAGAGTAGTGTTGTAGCCCTGCAGTCAGCAGACCTATAGAGGACCAGAGTAGTGTTGTAGCCCTGCAGTCAGCAGACCTATAGAGGACCAGAGTAGTGTTGTAGCCCTGCAGTCAGCAGACCTATAGAGGACCAGAGTAGTGTTGTAGCCCTGCAGTCAGTAGACCCACTTAATAGTTGAAAGCTCCTCCAGGTTCAGCATAGTCCATGGGTGTATGTCTCTGCTCTGCTCACTGAGACTAGGGCTATAAGGTTATAAGGTTATAAGACTATAAGGTTATAAGGTTATAAGGTTATAAGACTATAAGGTTATAAGGTTATAAGGTTATAAGACTAGGGTTATAAGGTTATAAGACTATAAGGTTATACGTTTATAAGGTTATAAGGTTATAAGACTAGGGTTATAAGGTTATAAGACTATAAGGTTATAAGGTTATAAGGCTATAAGGTTATAAGGTCATAAGGCTATAAGGTTATAAGGTTATAAGACTATAAGGTTATAAGGTTATAAGGTTATAAGGTTATAAGACTATAAGGTTATAAGGTTATAAGGTTATAAGGTTATAAGACTATAAGGTTATAAGGTTATAAGACTATAAGGTTATAAGGTTATAAGGTTATAAGGTTATAAGACTAGGGTTATAAGGTTATAAGACTATAAGGTTATAAGTTTATAAGGTTATAAGGTTATAAGACTAGGGTTATAAGGTTATAAGACTATAAGGTTATAAGGTTATAAGGCTATAAGGTTATAAGGTCATAAGGCTATAAGGTTATAAGGCTATAAGGTTATAAGGTTATAAGACTATAAGGTTATAAGGTTATAAGGCTATAAGGTTATAAGGTTATAAGACTAGGGTTATAAGGTTATAAGACTATAAGGTTATAAGGTTATAAGGCTATAAGGTTATAAGGTTATAAGGCTATAAGGTTATAAGGTTATAAGGTTATAAGGCTATAGGGTTATAAGACTAGGGTATAAGGTTATAAGGCTATAAGGTTATGAGGCTATAGGGTTATAAGACTAGGGTTATAAGGTTATAAAGCTATAAGGTTACCAGGCTGTAAGGTTAAGGCATATAGGGCTGTCTGTAGGGTTTCTCCCAGTGAGATGGCTGACTGCAGCATGCAGGGTCGAGGGACTTTGATGCCAGCGGGTGTTTTTTCTATATTTATTATGTAACCTTTATTCATCCAGGAAGTTCCATTGAGGTCAAAATACCTATTTTACCTGGGGTGCTAAGGACGTGTTAAGGTGGGAGTGGGGCTTGGGACGGGCACAGAGAGCAGCTGGTACCAGTGGATAGACCCAGTAGAGTACACAGTGCCTGGTAGAGGGATGGTAGGGGTCGGGGTTTGTTGTGAGCAGCGCCTCCTGACATACCGCTGGTCTATGTTTGAACCATGCAGAGGTGATCAGTCCCTTACTGTGGTCAGGTGCTGAGATACAAGAGAGGGAGCTGAGCCAACTCCCCAGACTATCTCACACCAAAGAACATAGATCTGGAGCTGATTACAGAGGCAGTGTCCCGAATGGCACCCTATTCCCTATATAGTGCACTTCTCTTGACCAGAGCCCTATGTGTAGTAGAGCCCTAGTAGTGCACTATAAAGGGAATAGGTTGCCATTTGGGATGCACACTGAGTTTTCATTTGAAACCTGAGAAAGTTTTTGGTTGAAGGCACCTGTATCTTATACCCTAAACACCAGTGTCTGTGACTGTCTGTAATAGCAATCATGGACTGTATGATGCATCACCCAAACACTTTCTACTAACTGTTGGTTGGGACAATAGACTAGAAACCTGCTTTATTAATGACTGTGTAATTCTCTGTAATATGCTGCATAAGGACGTAATGAGTGGGGTTGTGGTTGTGTCGTATTTTGGTTCATTGAACTCTTAAATGTTATCCGTGTAATCATTATTATGCATGAATAAGTATGAACAATGAACATACAGAGATGGTTTTGAAAGTTTGTATCTGACTTGTGTCTGTCTCGTCCCCTTCCCTCAGCGATCATGGCTTTCCTGTTTGACCTGAAAGCCTTAGTAGACATGATGTCCATTGGAACCCTCCTGGCCTACTCCCTCGTTGCTGCTTGTGTACTCATTCTCAGGTGAGTGATGGATGGGATACATCCACAGGGCTCTTGCAGCTATTAACCTAACTATTATGTTTCATTTCTATCTATTTAAAAACGTATGTTCTCCAGTGGGTTAGTTGGTGGGAGCATGGTGCTGGCAACACCAACTTTGTGGGTGTGATTCCTACAAAGGCCAAATATACTAAATAGGTCATTCTTGAATTGCGTTGGCATTTGCATCCCTCAGCTTTGCAACCATGAAAAACCCTTTAAAATTACAAATAGTTGCACATTATACATGTTTTTGTCTATACTGAACTGTTTATTAATGATAAAACACAATGTCATTTAAAACTTTACCTTAATGCATCGTTTAAAGTACTAAGAGCAAGCAAATTGGCTTGTCCCAGTAGTAATGAGTGTTTTGGGGATTTAAAGATTTATATCTAACATTTTGAATGCTAGAAAGTAAACAAAAGTATGTATGATATTGCATAGATCAATAAGAACAAAGGCTATTCAAATATATATATATATATTACTTTTTTTTACAAATATAATGTGTCTCTTAGTTTAATGTCATTGGTGTTACCGCCTTAAAAATCACTCATAACAAAGATATAAACAGACCTTGAGCATTCTCTCCAGGGGCAAATTGTTATCAGTGGAAGGGTCTATATTAAATAAAATTATTAGCCAATCAAACACTTTTAGTATGTCATACATTTTAGGATTCCATTGATAATTTGGTGTGTCTAAATAAAAAGTGTCATTGGTGTTACTCAATTTAAATGAAGGAAAATCACATTGTGAGCAACATGTTTAATCATATCACTTTAGTAAATTATTTTAAAGGGTTAATTACCTTAGATTTTAGCAAAAATCCTCAATTACCTAAAATGTGTCATTGGTGTTACCATCATTGGTGTTACTACTCCTACTGGTGGCACCATGTTATCATAACGGTACAACTTATTTAAAGTCATTACACTGCCATATTAGTGGATTTAGAATGGGAAGATGTACCCAAATACTGTAAATTTAAATAAATAAACATCTAGAATAATTAACTTGTTTTTTTTCTCAAAATGCCATGCCCAAATCCCATCGCAATTCAAGAACGGCTTGAATATGTGTGGTAACTGTAAGTCACTTCAGATAAAATCATCTGCTAATGCTAAATAACCATATTATTATCAATCCACCCTAAGACCTATAGCGAGGCAGCTTGATTCAGTAGGGTGAAGGAACTTGATACAATTGACACAGCCGAAGTGTAGGTAGCCGTGCTTGTTGGGAAAATAAAGCAAATATCATTACCCTGTTAGAGTAATATGCAGCTTGTGTTATTGAATCAGAGCTATGATGTAATCGGTCTGAATGCTTCCTTTGTGTGGAAGTAGTGAAATTACTTCTTGAGTTCACGCTGATGTTTACTCAACCTTTCGTTGCATGCGACTCGAGATTCAAGAAACACACCATCCTGTTTAGAGTTGTAGGCTATGAAGTTCAGAGGAATGTCTTCCAGGGAAATAACCCTTTGACTCCAAACAGAAACAGAACAGCGTGTTTCTTGGTCAACATAACCTAAATTCCTTTCGGAAGTATTTTGGAAAAACATCAAAATTATGACTGAGACAGATTAATCTTGTAGGTTTAGAAAGTTTGAGTAAATATCAGCATGTACTCAGGAAGCCATGTACCCAAGTATCACACAGTGTCAGTGTCACATGTTGACTCTAGGGGCCCACCGTGCAACACAGGGAGGGGAGAACAAAACAATGCCCACCTGTATGATCAAAACAATGCCCACCTGTATGATCAAAACAATGCCCACCTGTATGATCAAAACAATGCCCACCTGTATGATCAAAACAATGCCCACCTGAATGAACAAAACAATGCCCACCTGAATGAACAAAACAATGCCCACCTGAATGAACAAAACAATTCCCACCTGAATGAACAAAACAATTCCCACCTGTATGATCTAAACAATGCCCACCTGTATGATCAAAACAATGCCCACCTGTATGATTAAAACAATGCCCACCTGTATGATCAAAACAATGCCTACCTGTATGATTAAAACAATGCCTACCTGTATGATTAAAACAATTCCCACCTGTATGATCAAAACAATGCCTACCTTTATGATTAAAACAATGCCTACCTGTATGATCTAAACAATGCCCACCTGTATGATCAAAACAATGCCCACCTGTATGATTAAAACAATGCCCACCTGTATGATCAAAACAATGCCTACCTATATGATTAAAACAATGCCTACCTGTATGATTAAAACAATGCCCACCTGTATGTTCAAAACAATTTGTTTCACTGCTATACCACCAATCCAGTCTGTTCTAGTTTTTCTAGTTTTACTTCACCTAACGTAACCCAGAATAATACTTAAATAACTCATGGTCTTATTTTGTTTAACTGGAGAGAAAAGAAACATGTGGTGATATGCTGTTTCACAACTGAAAGGAACATTAGTGGTTTGACATGGTATTTGGTGGGTTTGCTATTAAGATACATGTTTTCAGGGGAGCAGTCTGGCTGGTTTACTTGGTTGTCAGACTGCTCCCCTGATATGTTCTACTGAAAGGGTGTTGTCGCTTAAAAACTTCTTAAATGTAACTAAATGTAATCTAAAATGTAATCTACGTAATCCCCAAAAGTAATTATTTATCATGAGGGGGCCATAAACAATAACTAGTAATGCTGCATACTCCAAGAAATGTTAAAATCTCAAGTACACAGTACAATATATGATAAAAATATGAAAATATTAAATATTTTATATTGTATTCCCTATTCAACAAAACTGAATAGTATGTGGACACCACTTCAAATTAGTGGATTCAGCAATTTCAGCCACACCCGTTGCTGACAGGTGTATACAATTTAGCACACCGCCATGCAATCTCCATAGACAAACGTTGGCAGTAGAATGGCCTTACAGAAGAGCTCAGTGACTTTCAACGTGGCACCACTTTCAATGTGGCACCTTTCCAACAAGTCATTTCGTCAAATTGCTGCCTTGCTAGAGCTACCCCGGTCAACTGTAAGTGCTGTTATTGTGAAGTGGAAACGTCTAGGAGCAACAATGGCTCAGCCGCTAAGTGGTAGGCCACAGAACGGGACCGCAGAGTGCTGAAGCGTGTAGTGCTTAAAGATTGTCTGTCCTCGGGTGCAACACACACTACCGAGTTCCAAACTGCCTCTGGAAGCAACTTCAGCACAAGAACTGTTCGTCGGGAGCTTCATGAAATGGGTTTCCATGGCCAAGTAGCCGCACACAAGCCTAAGATCACCATGCGCAATGCCAAGCGTCGGCTGGAGTGGTGTAAAGCTCGCTGCCATTGGACTCTGGAGCAGTGGAAACTGGTTCTCTGAAGTGATTAATCACGCTTCATCATCTTGCAGTCCGATAGACGAATCTGGGTTTGGCGGATGCCAGGAGAACGCTACCTGCCCGAATGCATAGTGCCAACTGTAAAGTTTGGTGGAGGAGGAATAATGGTCTGGGGCTGTTTTTCATGGTTCGGGCTAGGCCCCTTAGTTCCGGTGAAGGGGAATCTTAACGCTACAGCATACACTGACATTCTAGACAATTCTGTGCTTCCAACTTTGTGGCAACAGTTTGGGGAAGGCCCTTTCCTGTTTCAGCATGACAATGCCCCCGTGCACAAAGCGAGGTCCATACAGAAATGGTTTGTCGAGATCGGTGTAGAAGAACTTGACTGGCCTGCACAGAGCTCTGACCTCAACTCCATCGAACACCTTTGGGATGAACTGGAACGCTGACTGCGAGCCAGGCCTAATCGCCCAACATCAGTGCCCGACCTCACTAATGCTCATGGCTGAATGGAAGCAAGTCCCTGCAGCAATGTTCCAACATCTAGTGGAAAGCCTTCCCAGAAGAGTGGAGGCTGTTATAGCAGCAAAGGGGGGACCAACTCCATATTAATGCCCATGATTTTGGAATGAGATGTTTGACGAGCAGGTGTCCACATACTTTTGGTGATGTAGTGTATTCATAACTAACCCAAGATAGTTCATCTATGACGTTTACAGTGGGAGCAAATGAAGCATAGAGGACAGAACAAGCAAGGAGGTGGGCAGAGCCAAGCATGAGCTAGCGAGATCCTATTAGCGCGTTGTAGCATGTATTTGCATATTTCTGTTAGGGAAAGCCTCCACTGTGAAGTGTGCGTGGGCACAAACTCAACTCGACCTTGCACTCCTTCTAAACAACGCAATTTTTTTAAAACTTTGGCAAAGCGTCAAGTCTATAAAACGTAGTGTTCTGTGGTTGTAACAGATTGTAGTTTTGGGAACAGAAAACATTTATTGATATCAGATGTTTCAACGATGAGAAAATTACCAGAATGTCGGACCAGTTTCACCTGGTTCCATCCTATCCCTCTACTGGTGACTGGACTTCCTCTCACTACCATATTTGGTGGTGAGAGAATATTCTCAGCTTTATAGCCCCTGTGACGTGTCTGGGTTTCCCCTTCAGTCTGTGGACATACTCCTGTGCCAGTGAGAATCAGGGCTACCGCTCAATGCAAGACATTTCAATCAACGGTGTCCACAGATCAATTTCTAAGCAAAAATGTCAGTCGGAACCGGTACCAGAACCACACAGGTCCCCTAAACAGGGGACTTTACATCTAAGAGGTTTAATAGCAAACCCACCAAATACGATACCAAACCACTAATGTTCCAGTCTTTCGGTTGTGAAACTAAATAAGACAAAATAAGTGTCTGTCGTTTTTTTCAGGTACCAGCCGGATCTGCTCTATGGAAAGCCAGGGTGTAACAGGGAGAAGGATGGCCTGACATCACCGGAAGGGGAGTCAGAGCTGACGGAGTCTGAGTCCCACATCAACATGCTGAAGGGAGGAGGTTCCACCCTGCAGACAGTGCTCAAACCTCCACTGGTACCCACCGAACAGTCCTCCTCTGTGGTCAACATGGCGGTCTGCCTCTTAGGTTTGCATTGCATCACTGATTTACTCTCAAACTCCATGATGGCCATTTGAAATGTCCACAATGTTACAATGTTGTTTGTATCTGATGTTGTCTCACCAGCAGTGGACAACTCATTGCCTTAGATAATTATTTAAGGCAGACTAGTGTCTTTGTGGTGAAGTCTGTGTATTGTCTGTCCACAGTGTTGGTGGTGTGTGTGATCAGTGCTCTGACCACCTACCATGGATATGCCATAATTCGCATGGAGACCTGGATCCTGTGTTGTCTGGCCCTGTCCCTGGTGGTCTTCATTGGCTGTGTGGTTCTCATCTGTCAACAGCCTCAAACCAGCAGGAAGGTCTCCTTCATGGTACCTACACAGATGACCATATTTTTAGGCTGAATCAGCCTACTGCACCATGCATGACCCCTCAGTTTTCAAAAAATGATGTACAATGATTTCATACCATGTCAGTTTCAGGCTCTCAGGTTGCAGTTGTAGGATACAATAAAGTGTGTTAGTGATGGTTAGACTCTCTGTTGTCTGTTCCTACAGGTCCCACTCATCCCATTTCTCCCCATCCTGAGTATATTTGTCAATGTTTACCTCATGGTCCAGCTGAGTGGAGACACCTGGATACGCTTCTCCATATGGATGGCTGTGGGTAGGTGCCATCCAACATCTCTGAAGCCTCAAACACATTGAGGTGAATCTATTTAGATGTCCATCTGCTGGCTCGTCCCAGGCCTGCAGATGGTCAACCCTTTTGTAACCAGGCCTCCTCGGTCTCCTGTCTTCCTGTCTTCTTCCCTCCAGGTTTCCTAATCTACTTTGGCTACGGAATGTGGCACAGTGTGGAGCGCCAGCGCAGGCTCCAGGACTCCCTCAGCAGCAGCGCCAAGCAGGAGGAGAAGAAGAAGACCAGCCAGTGTTAAAGAAAGACCAGGGATCCACACAGACTCTAGAAGGTCACCTGGTGACCCCTGCCCCAGCCAGGACACAGACACGCTATTCCTAGATACACTACAGATTTAGGATCTTAATTTGATCACTTTTGTTGCTGAGGATATTCCTGAACCGCAGGAAATGCAGATGAGCTTCTTGATTTACATAAATTCCCTGAAAACCCACAATAACACATGATTAATTTAACACTATTGCACTTTTCATGTAGCCTACTTTTGGCCAGCTAATAAACTAACCACCGATCAAGCAACATTAAGGACTAGACGTTCAAATCCTGTTGCTGCAGGATTATTTTGCTGTGGCAATACTGGTCAAATTAAGATCCTACATCTGTTTATACAGCTACATGCCATCTGTGCCTCGGTCACATGTCATTCTCCCAGTGGAGCTGCAGTATACTGTGTCAATGGTCATGTGACTTGGAGCAGTGCGGTGGGCTCATTATCGATGTCCGTCTCCATGATGATGTGACCAAGTAGGAAAGGCAGATTGGTCAGAAAGGTGTGGAGGTGTTTCCAACAGTCTACAAGAAGAGACAGAAGACAGGAAATGACAGGTTTTGCATTTCCTATTACAATTACAGTCATGGACTAACTGTGGAAAGGCTTTGTATTTGGTTTTGGCCTAACTTCCTATGGCCTTTTCTGTAAAGTCACTGTGTATCCTAATCAGCTTATACAGACTTTGCTGTTGGAATCTATTGTCTTAGTGTAGAAAGTAGAGTAGGTCACTATGTTAGTATTAGTACACTGTTAGAGAAGCACTTAGACCATTTTCTAAATGTGCTGAAAAAACAAACTCTATTCAGGGTTAATGACATGTACACTAAACCATTAATTAGCTTCTAAATAGTGGCCACATTCTGAATGTACATTCTGTACAAACGTAAACAGATATACTAACATGCACACACAATGTTTTCATTTCATTCGTGGCATATATATGCACATGCATCATGTTATGTGTACATATCAATTTATTACAATTACAAATGTGATTTAACTGCTGGTGAATGGGTTATCTGACGTGTGTTTTCCATAATGGTACTAATTGTGCTCTATTTGACTTTTTGCGTTAATGTTCTTGCGACAGGTGTTGTTGGTGTTCTAATGGAACACAAGTTGAACTAGTCTTTATAAATGTTCTACTCTGATTACTTGGATGTGTTGCCGTCTCAATCATGTTTACAATCAAGTGTCGTGAAGATTGTATGAAATCGAAATGCAGTGAATAAGAGAATTGCTTGTTCAGTGTTTGATATCACATTCCGTACAAAGACCGTTTTTGCATTGCTGTATTTCTTTGTGCAAGTATTACATATCCTCTTAAGTCCTTTGGGAGATTTTTAGTCTGTTATTGCTAGACAGTGGACTGGACTGTCTTGAAATTTGTAATTTCTTGACCAAATATGCTCTACAGGCCACCTTGTGTCGCCCTTCTCATTTGAAGATGTGTCCCTGCACTGTTTTCTGAATAGTTTCTTAGCATCAAATACAAGATGTACCGTACATGTTTTGCAGGATAATATCCCAGGGAAAGTGACAGTTAATGACAATATTCAACAAATTCAAGATAAACTGGTCTTTCAACGTTTAAATGTTCCATGCTTTTTTTACATTAATATTCTAATCCAAGTCGGAGCTTGATCAGTATTTAAAGGTTACTTCTCCTCTCCTCCTCTCGTTTTGTGTCCAAAAGGTTTATTATGTCTACTTTGTAACTCTACCTTGGTTACACAACCAATTTCTGGGGTTTGATATGGATGAGCAGTGAGAGAGATATTGCTTTTTAACATTCTTCTCTTGGAGAAGCAGAGGCCAAAATCATGTAACTTTTCCCAAATTCCCAGGTTTTCCAGAAATGCCTGTTGGAAGATTCCTGGAATCAGGGGGGAATAAACAGGAAATCCGGAACCCTGCAACTAGGACTTCTGGAATACCTAAGAGTTTTGGGAAAGTTATCAGATTTTTACAACCCTAGTTAGGGAAGTATTTTAGGGTGTTCAGTTGCAGTTCATCCACTGATGGAGCTCTTAGACCTGTGTTATGATGATGATCTCAGAGTTCCACCTCATCCTCCTGTATTGAGAAATCCTGAACAATCTTAGTTTAGATGATTTTGATGTACATTTTTATTTCATCTTCTTTAAAGATAAGTGGCTGAGGTTATACTATATAATATCATGGTAATTTACTGCAAAAGCATATTTTTTTTAAACATTTGATTTAACTTGATCGATGTAAGTTGAGTTAGGTTAATTAAACGTGGAACAAAAGAGCAGAGGACATCATGTCCCTGAGGACCTAGATCATGGTTGCAGACATACGTAGCTAGTGTTGTAGCTTATACAAATATAAACAGAATGATCCTCTGTAAATGTACCCATTATGTAATTTTTTTTACATTTTAGTCATTTAGCAGACGCTCTTATCCAGAGCGAGTTACAGTTAGTGAGTGCATACATTTTCATACTGGCCGCCCGTGGGAAACGAACCCACAACCCTGGTGTTGCAAGCGCCATGCTCTACCAACTGAGCTACAGGGCACTACTAATGACATAGTTTTCAATTGTTTCTACTAACTGTACTGATGTCAATAAATGTATTTTTCAATAAGATCAGTTTATGCAAGAGTGTATTCTGTGAGTGTTCTGCACATTGTCAGACATTGCAGTAACCCAGTGAGGGGAGGATATATAATTGCTTGTCTGTCTATTGTAAATGGCTGATATTAATAATTGGTAATAAAAAACTACTTGGTTTAGAATTTGGGTCTGGACATCCAGGTTAATCTGTGGTTCTCGCTCAATAAAACCCAATAGGGTTGTGTGTACCTCATTAAATCTCCTTTATAAACTGTAAATAAAATACAATGTAAATAAACAGTGTGGCAGTGTTCCCCTCAGCCCACCAGAGGGCAACAGAGCATTTCTCTTCACAGAGAGACAGCGAGAGAGAGAGAGATATTTCACTTTCTCCTCTTCTCCTTTTTCCTACGGAGGAGGATGGAGCTATTAATGTAATCTAAACAGGGCTGCTGGAGCCTGCAGACATCCAGGCAGTGTAGCACCCAGGTCTGACATTTCTCCTGCTGGGTCCCTCTCACTGCTCTTCTGGCCCTACCGAGCACCTCCCGTCCTGCTCACCTGCTGCTCCGTCCGGTCTGCTCACCATGAAGCCCTGCTGGGCCCTCTTAACTCTGGCCATACTCTGGGTGGAGATCCAAAATGGTGAGTAACTTTCTGATCCTCCATGTCTCTCCTCCATGACTTCTTCTTTGTGTGGAGAATACACTGCGATTTCCGTTGATTCCGCTATAACTGCTTTGCTGTAATCGAAGAGCAGCCTTTGGGATTAGATAATCCCATACTTCTGAGTTGACGTTGCCGTTTAGTACGACAGTGACGAGAGTGAGGTGGAGAGGCATAATCTGAATATAATTTAACTAATGGGTAAGAAAGTGACAGCAGTGATTTTAGATTTTAGAAATCATACAAGGACTGGGGATAGCAACATAATTTTCCCAGACTAGTTTCTGTGGTGTTTGGTCACTCTGGAAAAGACCTGCACAAACATTACATATTTTGTAAATGTATTTATACAGTGAGCTCCAAAAGTATCGGGACAGTGACACATTTGTTTGTTTTGGCTCTGTACTCCAGCAATTTGGATTTGAAATGATACAATGACTATGAGTTTAAAGTGCAGACTATTAATCTTAATTTGAGGGTTTTTTCATCAATATCGGGTGAACCGTTTAGAAATTACAGCACTTTTTGTTACATAGTCCCCCCATTTTAGGGGACCAAAAGTATTGGGACAAATTCACTTATATGCGTATTAAAGTAGTAAAATGTTAAGTATTTGGTCCCATATTCATAGCACACAATGACTACATCAAGCTTGTGACTCTACAAATGTGTTGGAGGCATTTGCTGTTTGTTTTGGTTGTGTTTCAGATTATTTTGTTCCCAATAGAAATGAATGGTAAATAATGTGTTGTGTCATTTTGGAGTCACTTTTATTGTAAATAAGAATATGTTTCTAAACACTTCTACATTAATGTGGATGCTAGCATGATTACTACAGATAATCCTGAATGAATCATGAATAATGATGCGTGAGAAAGTTAGACACACAAATATCATACCCCCCCAAAAAAACGCTAACTTTGGGGGTATGATATTTGTGCATCTAACCTTCTCACTCATCATTATTCACGATTCATTCAGGATTATCCGTAATCATGGTAGCACCCTGCACTTTAATCTTATAGTCATTGTATCGTTTCAAATCCAAAGTGCTGGAGTACAGAGCCAAAAAATAAAATAATTGTCACTGTCCCAATACTGTTGGAGCTCACTGTATATTTCTGTGGTATTTGATGTGGCTTGCATGAGTGTTTGCTCAGCAGAACTTTAAGAGCAGCATTTAGAGTATGCAAGAGGTGTTATCAATTAATCTGCTTTTCATTTGAGAGATCTCTGCTTTCCAAATGTCCAGTTGAGAGATCTCTGCTTTCCAAATGTCCAATACAGAACAAATGAAACAAATAATGAGCTGAAATATCATCAAAAGTCTGAACTAATATGCTGTTCACAAATCTCTTCTCCTAAATACACCTGTAATATGTTTAGTCTGGAACATACCCCATATCCCCTTAAACTAACCCAAATAACAGTATCAACATATCCTTAATTTATACAAAATGATCTATCATACTAAATAGAATATACTGCAGACAGATGGGAGTTGGAGTTGTTGAGCTCTGGACATGTGGCAGTAAGAAAAACTCCCATGTTTCCTGTTCTGCAGTTGTTACAGCTGTGTGTTGTAGTATTGATTAGCTTTCTAGATGGGAACACTGCACTGTTCCCTACTACTCTGACTGTCTCTGTCTCTTTTGCTGCGTTCACATGCTAGTCAGAACTAGGAAACTCGAAAATGTCAGACTTGCTAACTTCTTGTAGTCACCCACGTGAGCGTGGCATCTGTGTCTGTCTCTGTGGAGGTGTGTCATTCCACAGTGGGACTCTGACACGGGCTGTGGACGCGTACTGGGGTGGGTCACTGTTAATACTGTTCTAACCCCCCTCTCTCCCTCCCTCTGTTGGTTTAGGTGCCTGCCAGCAGGTCAGTCGTAGGAAGGAGGCGGGAGAGAACCTCATCAGGCCTGGAGGCAAGCAGGCCAAGTTTCGCTACCCCGAACTGAAGGAGAAGGCGGCAGGAGGAAGAGGCCAGTCCATCCTGACCTAGGTTCTGGATAAGGATCGTTTCCTGAGGCTGGGAGAGAGCGTGAGCCTCAGCCGTAGGAACAACATAGAGCTGCGTTATAAAGACAGTAACATCGGCTGGTCCTACCCTACCTACCTGGACACCTTCAATGACTCCCGACTCAGGTGACCTGAAGGCTACGTTCCAAATGGCACCCGATTCCATATTTAGTGCACTAATTTTGACCAGGGCCCATAAGGCTTTGGTCAAAAGTAGTGCACTATATAAGGAATAGGGTGCCATTTGGGATGAATCCATTGATTAACAGATTACTTGTTCTGTCTCAAATCACTATGCCTCCAGCTGATAGGAATCTAACTATGATCAATAATGTTAATGTTTCCCGTCTGTTTCAATCCCACCACAGGGATGTACAGCTGCTGGGTCACACTTTGTGACGGATCGGAGTGTCTCAAAGACCCCGACCGCACCTCCAGGACTTCCAACTACTTCACAGGTGAGCAGGGTGCCTCTACTACTGTAAACCTATTTATACTTCATCAACCTAACACAGAACATATTATTTAAATCGCCTCCATTCAGACTAATCCCCTTTTATTGTATATTCAAATTCTTGACTTCAAATCATCTCTACCCTCATACCCCTTCCCCTCCAATCAGACAAGGATGATGTCTTCGTCCCCTCCGCCATCCACTTTGAGATTGTCTACCTGCATCCGGACAGGACTGCTGTTATCCCATGTCGTGTGACCAGTCCGCTGGACAAGGTGTCCCTGCACAGAGAGGTCCCCCCAGAGTAGATGGAAGTGGATGAGACGCTGGTCTCCTACGACCCAACCAAGGACTTCATCCTCCAGAAGCCAAGTCCAGAGCACCAGGGAGTGTTTTACTGTAAGGCCGTGACCAAGGCCATCCCACAGATCTCCACAAAGTACCAGCTGTTTTACGTGGAGAGTAGGAACCTAGCAACCGTGCACCATCACACATAACAAAAACATTGGTTTTCAATAGATCACAATATGGAGCATTTGTTGTCAAATCACAGTACTAGTGATCACACTAACATTAGTCAATAAAAAAATATATACATCTACATTATAGCCCCAGAGATGGGAATGTGCTGTATGTCATTTTAATTACTTAAAACAATAACTGACGGGCAAAGGCAATTCACAATTACCACATTAGTTTATTAGAGGTCTACCTGAGACCATTTTACACAGTTATGAATCAGATCTGCTGGCTACTGTGTGTGCAGCCCTATGGGCCCTGGTCAAAAGTAGTGCACTAAAGGGAATAGGGTGCCATTTGAGACACAGACTTGGTCTGCTGTGAGTCATCAGCTTCCAGGAATAGAGTGTATTTCACTGTGTTATCAAAAGGCTGTTCCACTTTAGGGCTCTTTGTTTAAGTGGACCTGTGCCTACGGCAGTGGAAACATGGACCCATTTTGGCTGCTTTAAGTGGGATGGATCAGTGGTGAATTTATGAAATGGAAACACTGTGGTTCAGGGCCCAGTTTTTAAAAGGTTATCTGATTGGATTTCGGCAATCGGATAGGATTAAATCCATAGAAATAGAATCCCATTCAAGTCAATGCTATTCATTCTATTTCTATGCATTTAATCCTATCCGATTGCCGAAATCCGATCAGATACCTTTTGAAAAACTGGGCCCTGGTGATATCAATCTCTCACTTCAGTTTTGACAGGAAGGCGGAGAGACCAGTATTAAGGTTTAGGTGGAAGTCGACCAAGGAAGTATGTTTCCAATCCTTACTGTCCACTAGAAATGTGTTCTATCCTAAAACAGTCAGTGACAGCTGTAACCACGTAGCCATCTGGACAGCACTTGGTCAATAACATTGTTTGTCCAATAGATATCCTATAATAAATGTGGTTTGTCCATCCTTAACTCTGTTGGCAGTGCCTAGTGGCCCATCATACGTTACCATTGAAGCGTCCCTTTCCTCTTCAAGGGGAGGAGACAACATCAACATCACCTGTACTGTCCTGGGAGAGCCAGAGATGGACGTCAGCTTCACATGGACTTATCCTGGCCAGGTAAACTGGATGTCACCATTTCTCAGTGATGCTTGACCTTGGTGTTTCGTCTCTTCAGCTTGTGAGACACACCACCCGCATCTTCCAGAGCGTCATGGCCGTCGATGACCTGGAGACCATCGACTTTGGAAGATACATCTGCAGAGCCAAGAAGAAGCACGGGGAGATCGCAGTGGCCACCAGCGTCCACTCTAACAAGCTAGACAGCAAGAGAGAACACTTAGAACCTGTATAGGCATCATTCCACTTCAGGGGCTACTTCACATTAGGCCTCTTGCAGCTTGAGTAGATTTCATCTATGTTTGCCACTTTGCTGAGGTTGATTGACCAATAAGGCTAGCACAGGGATTATACTAGTTGAGCTATTAGAAAACCACAGTGTCAGTTTGACTAGCTCTGTTATCCAGTCAAAATCTGAATGTAAATATCAATTTAGAAATCTGAATGTATCCAGCTTATGTAGATGCACATTTACTCAATGTGTCGGAGGACATTATTAAAGATATGTCCATACCTTTACCTCCTCTACAATGTATTTATGGTGAAACTCTTATTGGTAGGACAGATGGATCTGTATCCCCACACACCTTTCCCTTCTGCGGGGAAAGACATTTTACAATGAAACAATATTGGATGCTTTGTTGGGGGATTTGTCTAAAAGGAAGACCATCATGTGAGAGAAGCTTCTGCTCCCTCTGTCTGGTGTGAAGGGGAATCAAATAGAAACAGTGTGCCCTGCCTCACTCCTAATGGTCTCCGTATGTGGAATGTGAAACGCAGGCCCAGATCTTATTTTGGTCCAGTGTAACACACTGACTGCATTTCCCACCTCTCTCTCAACAGAAACGCACTAGGCAGTTTATATATATATATATATTTTCCTCTTTATTTTTTCTTCGGGGGAATGGATGAGCTTAATATTGCAGATAGATTGTATCTTCTATCAATGTAATTGTCTGCATCACTTCCAATCCCCCATGTTTTTTTTATATATATATACTCCCCTTTATTACTTTTCAACCCCACCATCCTTTCCCTACTTGGAGTAAATTAGTGAACAACAATGCCCAGGCCTACATCCGGTCTATACTTACTATCTACACCTTATGGACAGAGTTAATTTTACAATAATTCTATTATATATACAGTGGGGGAAAAAAGTATTTAGTCAGCCACCAATTGTGCAAGTTCTCCCACTTAAAAAGATGAGAGAGGCCTGTAATTTTCATCATAGGTACACGTCAACTATGACAGACAAATTGAGGAAAAAAAATCCAGAAAATCACATTGTAGGATTTTTACTGAATTTATTTGCAAATTATGGTGGAAAATAAGTATTTGGTCACCTACAAACAAGCAAGATTTCTGGCTCTCACAGACCTGTAACTTCTTCTTTAAGAGGCTCCTCTGTCCTCCACTCGTTACCTGTATTAATGGCACCTGTTTGACCTTGTTATCAGTATAAAAGACACCCGTCCACAACCTCAAACAGTCACACTCCAAACTCCACTATGGCCAAGACCAAAGAGCTGTCAAAGGACACCAGAAACAAAATTGTAGACCTGCACCAGGCTGGGAAGACTGAATCTGCAATAGGTAAGCAGCTTGGTTTGAAGAAATCAACTGTGGGAGCAATTATTAGGAAATGGAAGACATACAAGACCACTGATAATCTCCCTCGATCTGGGGCTCCACGCAAGATCTCACCCTGTGGGGTCAAAATGATCACAAGAACGGTGAGCAAAAATCCCAGAACCACACAGGGGGACCTAGTGAATGACCTACATAGAGCGGGGACCAAAGTAATAAAGCCTACCATCAGTAACACACTACGCCGCCAGGGACTCAAATCCTGCAGTGGCCAGACGTGTCCCCCTGCTTAAGCCAGTACATGTCCAGGCCCGTCTGAAGTTTGCTAGAGTGCATTTGGATGATCCAGAAGAGGATTGGGAGAATGTCATATGGTCAGATGAAACCAAAATAGAACTTTTTGGTAAAAACTCAACTCGTCGTGTTTGGAGGACAAAGAATGCTGAGTTGCATCCAAAGAACACCATACCTACTGTGAAGCATGGGGGTGGAAACATCATGCTTTGGGGCTATTTTTCTGCAAAGGGACCAGGACGACTGATCCGTGTAAAGGAAATAATGAATGGGGCCATGTATCGTGAGATTTTGAGTGAAAACCTCCTTCCATCAGCAAGGGCATTGAAGATGAAACGTGGCTGGGTCTTTCAGCATGACAATGATCCCAAACACACTGCCAGGGCAACGAAGGAGTGGCTTCGTAAGAAGCATTTCAAGGTCCTGGAGTGGCCTAGCCAATCTCCAGATCTCAACCCCATAGAAAATCTTTGGAGGGAGTTGAAAGTCCGTGTTGCCCAGCGACAGCCCCAAAACATCACTGCTCTAGAGGAGATCTGCATGGAGGAATGGGCCAAAATACTAGCAACAGTGTGTGAAAACCTTGTGAAGACTTACAGAAAACGTTTGACCTGTGTCATTGCCAACAAAGGGTATATAACAAAGTATTGAGAAACTTTTGTTATTGACCAAATACTTATTTTCCACCATAATTTGCAAATAAATTCATTAACAATCCTACAATGTGATCTTCTGGAATTTTTTTCTCATTTTGTCTGTCATAGTTGACGTGTACCTATGATGAAAATTACAGGCCTCTCTCATCTTTTTAAGTGGGAGAACTTGCACAATTGGTGGCTGACTAAATACTTTTTTTCCCCCACTGTATATATATATATATATATTTTTTTTTTTCTCCTGAACTTCTTCTACTCTCAACCTCTCCGATCATTTTCATGATGTCCATCCGGTTTGCTTCTATATGCCATATCTTTCTTACTGTGCTCTTTCCCAAAAGCTCCCAACATACAACCTATATACTTATTATGGACACAGTATGCTTACATTATTAGCTATCTTTGTTATTATTTGTTGTTATTTGTTATTAGTCCCATCCTTCAACTCTATTCAACACCATCCATATAGGATTTCTATTTGCCATATATATTTCAACCGTACTGTGATGTTTTACAAAAGTTCTGAACCTTTCTATTCTCATTGCTTCTACAGATTGTGAATGAAAAAGAAACATTTTTGCTAAAAGTATTATTATATTATTGATTGATTGACTATGACTTTTCAGATCACCCAGTAATGCTATCTGCAAGGTTAGCTCGAGGTAAATATTGCAATCCTTTAGCCATCCCTGGACCTGTGTCCAAAAACAAGCTACAAATGGACAGAACCAAAACAAATGATCTAATGATTCTGTCTCTTCACAGCAAAATCTGCAGAGCTGGGAAGATTGTATCCCCCATATAAATAACATTCTATTGGTAGCAAGAATTTTATATAATAATTTAAATTGAAAGATAATTTTTGAATCCGGTGTCGTTTTGCGTGTCAGTTCATAAACACTATGCCATGGGATCGGTACGTCAAAGATCTCTTCCCAACTATTTTGCAATCTATATGGGACGGCTGTCAATCCTTTGGTCCTTAAGTGAAACTGATATACGTTTTTATTTATCACAGTTTTCCTTAACCAATTATGTTCTTTAATGCAAGGCCGACAGACAAGTTCCTTACTTTCTCCCCCTTCCACTTTCCTCTTCCACTTTTGCGGTAAGGCTGCAATTATTTGGTTGTAATTTTGGGTAGAGCAGACATTTCCATATGTTTTTGTTAGCTGCATGTGCGACATCACTCCACCAGTCCTACCGATGATATCATTTACGAAGATTATACCTTTTTTAAACATTCTGTCAAGAAATAAAGGTTTTTTGTCAATTAGTATTTTTAATTTAACCACAATATTTGTTGTATTATTTGTTCTGTCGTTTCTGGAGGATTAAATTTTTTTAATTGCAACCAACTTTCTATGGCTTGTTTTAGAAATAGTGATATTTGGGAGATTATTTCCTTTTCAAATAACTGAAAGTGAGAGGTTGTAATCTGAATAAAGGGAAAAGGCCTTTCTTGAACATTGGGTGAGACAATCTTACTAATTTGCTTGAGAACCAGTTCGGATTTAAGTATAACTTTTGTATGACTGAAGCTTTTAGTGATAGGTCTAATGCTTTAATATTTAATAATTTCTGTCCTCAGAATTCATATTCATTATATAAATATGCCCTTTTAATTTTGTCTGGCTTGCCGTTCCAAATAAAATTGAATATTTTCTTCTCATATAATTTAAAAAACTGTTCGCTAGGCGTAGGCAAGACCATAAGCAAATAGGTAAACTGGGATAATACTAGAGTTAATCAGGGTGATTTTTCCACAAATTGACAGGTATTTTCCTTTCCATGGTAGTAAGATCTTATCTATTTTTGCTAACTTTCTATTTAAATTTTTTGAAGTGAGATCATTTATTTCCTTTGGGATATGTATTCCGAGTATATCCACATCACCATCAGACCATTTTATTGGTAAACTACATGGTAATGTAAAAAAAATATTTTTTAGTGATCCAATACGTAATATAGTACATTTGTCATAATTTGGTTGTAATCCAGAGAGGTTAGACAATTTATCTAGATCCTCTATGAGGCTGTGGAGGGATTCTAGTTGTGGATTTAAAAGAAAACATTAATCATCAGCGTACAATGACACCTTTGTTTTTAAGCCCTGTATTTCTAATCCTCTGATATTATTATTGGATCTGATTTTAATAGCTAACATCTCGATGGCCACAATAAATAGATATGCTGATAGTGGACAACCTTGTTTCACTCCTCTTGACAGTTTAAAACTTTCTGAGAAATAGCCATTATTTACTATTTTACACCTAGGGTTACTATACATGATTTTGACCCATTTTATAAGAGATTCTCCAAAATTGAAATGCTCCAGGCATTTATATATAAACCCCAGTCAAACTTTATCAAAAGCCTTTTCGAAGTCTGCTATGAATAGCAGGCCTGGTTTCCCATATTTTCCATAGTGTTCTATTGTTTCCAATACTTGCCTTATATTATCTCCAATGTATCTTCCATGTAAAAAACCTGTCTGATTAGAATGAATAATATCCGACAATACCTTTTTAATTCTATGCGCTATACATTTAGCTAGGATTTTTGCATCACAACACTGAAGTGTAAGGGGCCTCCAATTTTGTAAATGGACTGGATCTTTATATTTTCCACTTGTATCCTGTTTCAGTAATAATGAGATCAGACCTTCTTCTAGGCTGTTGCTGTTTCTTAGAATGATCTATACTGAACTACATGGAAAGTGTTGGTCCCATGTTTCATAAGCTGAAATGAAAGATCCCAGAAATCTTCCATGCGCACAAAAAGCTTATTTCTCTAGAATTTTGTGCACAAATGTGGTTACATCCCTGTTAGTGAACATTTCTCATTTGCCAAGATAATCCATCCACCTGACAGGTGTGGTTTATCAAGAAGCTGATTAAACAGCATGATCATTACACAGGTGCACCTTGTGCTGGGGACTGTAAAAGGCCACTAAAATGTGCAGTTTTGTCACACAACAGAATGCCACAGATGTCTCAAGTTTTGACAGAGTGTGCAATTGGCATGCTGAGTACAGGAATGTCCACCAGAGCTATTGGCAGGGAATGTAATGTTCATTTCTTTACCAATGGCGTTTTAAAGAATTTGGCAGCATGTCCAACTGGCCTCACAACCGCAGACCACGTGTAACCACGTCAGCCCAGGACCTCCACATCCGGCTTCTTCACCTTCGGGATTGTCTGAGACCAGCCACCCAGACAGCTGATGAAACTGAGGAGTATTTGTCTGTGGAGAAAAACTCATTCTGATTGGCTGGGCCTGGCTCCCCAGTGGGTGGGCCTATGCTTTCCCAGGCCCACCCATGGCTGTGCCCCTGCCCAGTCAGGTAAAATCCATAGATTAGGGCCTAATTCATTAATTTAAGTTGACCGATTTCCTTATATGAACTGTAACGCAGTAAAACCATTGAAATTGTTGCATGTTGCGTTTATCTATTTTTTCAGTATACAGAGTTAAGCAGTGTTGAGGTAATTGTACGCAAAATCTAGTTTTATCTACTATGTATTCACTTCATATGAACATGGAAACCAACTAAGAAACCTAGAATACATCACCATAAAATATATATCTCTGCTTTAGATTTCATAATGGGACTTTATTAATTGCATATATTAAATCGTTTTTTTCAACACACCAATAATCTCCACATCCAAACAGGTTCTAATTTGTGACATATCCAAAACACGTCCATCACGCTTAGATTCTCTTCGCATTTTAACCTTAGTGACATCTTTGTAAAGACCCCCCATTTTAAAGCTGTATTAGGAGGATTGGGTGAGGGAGGGGTGCTAGACAACAGGTCAGCAAACATGCACAAACATTCATTTCAATTGGTCCCATGGTCAAACAAACAAACCAACCAACATTAAAAACACAGCTTTGAGTCCTCAGGCCATCGAACTGAACAGTTAGAGGACTATATAACCTGTAGAACTGAACAGTTAGAGGACTATATAACCTGTAGAACTGAACAGTTAGAGGACTATCTAACCTGTAGAACTGAACAGTTAGAGGACTATATAACCTGTAGAACTGAACAGTTAGAGGACTATATAACCTGTAGAACTGAACAGTTAGAGGACTATATAACCTGTAGAACTGAACAGTTAGAGGACTATATAACCTGTAGAACTGAACAGTTAGAGGACTATATAACCTGTAGAACTGAACAGTTAAGAGGACTATATAACCTGTAGAACTGAACAGTTAGAGGACTATATAACCTGTAGAACTGAACAGTTAGAGGACTATATAACCTGTAGATGGGTATAACCCTAGAAAGAAAGTAAGACTATAACCCGTAGACGACATTAATGACATGGAAACCTGTCAATTAACATTTATATAAATAACAGGAATGAGGTACTAATATCCACTTATGAAGATAATTAAGGCATTAGCCTGTGAACTGAACATTCAATAAAACCGTAGAACTGAAAATGACTTATATGTAGATGGAATAACAGAATGAAATAGTATGTTTGAAGGAGACGCATTAATTATATTGAAACCCATTAATTACAACACAGGATGATTTATATCCAATTATGGAGGAGATTCAATGTACTTGTGACTCTAAGCAATGATGATCTCATAGCAATAATATGAGAGTATGGTAGAAGGTTGATTATTAATTTCGTCCATTAATACAGGTTCGGCATTTGTTGATCCAATATGCACGGATCATGTACTTCCATACCACTGGCTGATTCTCGTAGTCTTGCAGAGGGAGAACGTCAGTCAACACAAGCTTTTGCCACCACTGAGAAAGATTAACAAATATAGTGTCTCATTATATAGTCCTGAGATGCCCTATGATAGATGTCCTATAATAACCCTAACCCTATGATAGATGTCCTATAATAACCCTAACCCTATGACAGATGTCCTAAAATAACCCTAACCCTATGATAGATGTCCTATAATAACCCTAACCCTATGACAGATGTCCTAAAATAACCCTAACCCTATGACAGATGTCCTATAATAACCCTAACCCTATGACAGATGTCCTATAATAACCCTAACCCTATGATAGATGTCCTATAATAACCCTAACCCTATGACAGATGTCCTAAAATAACCCTAACCCTATGATAGATGTCCTATAATAACCCTAACCCTATGAAAGATGTCCTATGATTTCAGACAAGGCAGAGAGAACAAGAGGCGGTCTCACTCAGTAAGTGCTTCTGTGCAACAGTCCTTTCTCATACAGTCATTGATCTGCAGTAAGTGTCAACAGAAAGTAGAGTCATTCAGGAATATTGTAGCCATCTCTGGATGACATGCGGCAATCCCGGTCAGCTAATATAGCTCTTAAGTACGGAGGGATGACTCAGTCCAATCAGAAAAGAGCGAGAGAGGCTGCTTCCTGGACCCAGTCCAATCAGAGGAGAGAAAGAGTGTCTGCTTCCTGGAAGCGGTAGGCTGCTGTTATCTGGGTGAGACGGGAGGGCTGGAGAAGACTGCAGAGCTGCGAGGTGATTGGATGGGGCTGGTGAAGACAGCAGTGCTGCGAGGTGATTGGAGGCCGAGGGAATGGTGGGAGGGGGAGGTGGGGGACATCTTGTGGGGGCTGCTCGGGTCCCCGTTGTGCAGCTTCCAGATGAGCTCCTCATTCTCCATAGACAGACGCTTGTTCACCTTGGATTCCTTGTGGAGATACTCCTGCAGCACCGCCTGCTCTGTGGACAGTTGTCTGGAAAGCGATGTCAAGACAAGAGTTAGAGAGGAGAAAAGACCCAGATATATAGAAGGCCATAGACACCCAGTCCCAGGTTGACTGAAGAATAGAGGAGAAAGAGAATGAGCAGTTGTTTTACCTGGACAGAGCAGCATGTCTGTCCATGCGGGCTTTCAGATCCTCATTCTCCTGCTGGACCTTTTTAAGGCATTCGTCCAGCTTAACGCTTTTCTCCATCTACAAAAACATCCAAAACATTAAACATTCAAGACTAGATAGAAAAATGGTCTTAAAATTGATGCCTGAACTATAGGTCATTAACAGTGAGTGGGTGGGGTATCTATGGTGCTCACCAGTTTGTCCATCTGCATCAGTTTGTGGTCCTGTTGGTGCAGCTGTTTGTTCTTGATATCCAGCACCACATTGAGGCTCTCCAGCTCCTGCTCCAGATACAGGGTGTGGGAGTCCTTCTGGAACGGCACAACAAGAGGGTGAGTAACACTGTTCTGCATCAGTTTGTGGTTCTGTTCATGCAGCTGTTTGTTCATGATATCCAGTACCACATTGAAGCTCTCCAGCTCCTGCTCCAAATACAGGGAGTCCTTCTGGAACGGCACAACAAGAGGGTGGTCTGAATAAGACTAGTCTGAATGAGTGTGATAATTCCAGATGAGGTTAGCCTCTGCCCATAACAGTTATACAACCCTAAATCCATAACCAAATCAACAGAGGGCACCATACCTAGGTGACAAAAACACCCCACTGTGTAAGCCCAATTTAATATACACCATTACAATAAATCCATTATGTATTTTAGGCAGGTCTAAAAGAAACATGATTAAAATTAAGAAAATGCATTTCAGAAGAACAGAACATGAGTAGGCCTACTGTAAGTTATCTGGCTATACACCATGCCATAGGCTGTAGGCTTGTTCATTTAGCTGACAAGATTTGCTTATAAGTCATGCCATTATTTTTATTTTATATTATTTTATAGTAAGAACAATATAATTCAACTTAGCTGAAAAAAATGTAAAGGATACTTTTCCCATTCTGGAGCAGGATTTCAGAAAGTTTCAAAAAAAGCTTGCGCTCTGTTCCTTGCCTCATGCTGCACAGCTGTTCTCTCATCAAGTGATCCTATTTTCACCCATCAGACACCCATTTGCTATGAAGCCCCTAAATAAGATCTGGTGCAACCAATTACCTTCAGAAGTTACATAACTTGTTAAATAAAGTCCACCTGTGTGCAAGCTAAGTGTCACATGAGCTCAGTATATATACACCTGTTCTGAAAGGCCCCAGAGTATGCAACACCACTAAGCAAGGGGCACCACCAAGCAAGCGGCACCATGAAGACCAAGGAGCTCTCCAAACAGGTCAGGAACAAAGTTGTGGAGAAGTACAGATCAGGGTTGGGTTATAAAAAAATATCCGAAACTTTGAACATCCCACGGAGCACCATTAAATCCATTATTAAAACATTGAAAGAATATGGCACCACAATAAACCTGCCAAGAAAGGGCCGCCCACCAAAACTCACAGACCAGGCAATGAGGGCATTAATCAGAGAGAGCAACAAAGAGACCAAAGATAACCCTGAAGGAGCTGCAAAGCTCCACAGCGGAGATTGGAGTATCTGTCCATAGGACCACTTTAAGCCGTACACTCCACAGAGCTGGGCTTTACGGAAGAGTGGCCAAAAAAAGCCATTGCTTAAAGAAATAAATAAGCAAACACGTTTGGTGTTCGCCAAAAGCCATGTGGAAGACTCCCCAAACATATGGAAGAAGGTACTCTGGTCAGATGAGAATAAAATTGAGCTTTTTGGCCATCAAGGAAAACGCTATGTCTGGCGCAAACCCAACACCTCTCATCACCCGAGAACACCATCCCCACAGTGAAGCATGGTGGTGGCAGCATCATGCTGTGGGGATGTTTTTCCATTGGCAGGGACTGGGAAACTGGTCAGAATTGAAGGAATGATGGATGGCGGTAAATACAGGGAAATTCTTGAGGGAAACCTGTTTCATTCTTCCAGAGATTTGAGACTGGGACGGAGGTTCACCTTCCAGCAGGACAATGACCCTAAGCATACTGCTAAAGCAACAGTCGAGTGGTTTAAGGGGAAACATTTAAATGTCTTGGAATGGCCTAGTCAAAGCCCAGACCTCAATCCAATTCAGAATCTGTGGTATGACTTAAAGAGTGCTGTACACCAGCGGAAACCATCCAACTTGAAGGAGCAGTTTTGCCTTGAAGAATGGGCAAAAATCCCAGTGGCTAGATGTGCCAAGCTTATAGAGACATACCTCAAGAGACTTGCAGCTGTAATTGCTGCAAAAGGTGGCTCTACAAAGTATTGGCTTTGGGGGGGTGAATAGTTATACATGCTCAAGTTCTGTTTTTTTGTCTTATTTCTCGTTTGTTTCACAAGAAAAAATATTTTGCATCTTCAAAATGGTAGGCATGTTGTGTAAATCAAATGATACAAACCCCCCCAAAAATCAATTTTAATTCCAGGTTGTAAGGCAACAAAATAGGAAAAATGCCAAGGGGGGTGAACACTTTCACTGTAAGCCACTGTATATGCCATGGCCTCTCCAACCCTATTCATGCAGTTACCCAGTGCTTCATTTTGAGAAACCAAGTTAAATCTGTTCGGGATCGTCGATAGTAACATGTTTTCACAACTAAACATATTAAATATTTTCATTAAAACTTTTGACAGCCCCTCTCTCTGCGCGCTGGAGTAAGGAATGAAGGAGAGAGGGGAAGAGATGTAAATGCACAGTGGTGAGATTTCTGTAGCTAAAAGGTGATGTGTCAGCCTATTCATTATATAAAAAATAAGACAACTCTATTATAGGCTATTAAAAATCAAATACAAATTCACTGTAATTGTAGGCTAACTCTGTAAGCCATTCTGCACAATCAATGAACCAACAGTATCGCCTAGGGCTATACGTTTTCTCCCACACTCATGGATAGAAAGGTTGGAGAGTAGCATAAGGTAACCAGTCCATCCAGTATGCATAATAATACAGTCCACACTCAAAGGCCATTACTATTTATTATTATTCTTTTTTTGGGGGGGGGGGTAATATGCAGTAGGCTATGTATGGTATACTGAACAAAAATAAAACGCAACATGCAACAATTTCAATGATTTGACTGAGTTACAGTTCATATTAGGAAGTCAGTCAATTGAAAAAAATTCATTAGGCCCTCATCTATGGATTTCACGACTGGGCAGGGGCGCAGACATGGGTGGGCCTGGCTCCCCAGGGGGTGGCTCAGCCAATCAGAATTTTTTTTACCACAAAAGGGCTTTATTACAGACAGAAATACTCCTCAGTTTCATCAGCTGTCCGGGTGGCTGGTCTCAAACGATCCCACAGGTGAAGAAGCCGGTTGTGGAGGTCCTGGGCTGGCGCGGTTAAATGTGGTCTGCGGTTGTGAGGCCGGTTGGACGTACTGCCAAATTCTCTAAAATTACGTTGGAGGCGGCTTATGGTAGAGAAATTAACATTACATCTCTGGCAACAGCTCTGGTGGACATTCCTGCAGTCAGCATGCCAATTGCACGCTCCCTCAAAACTTGAGACATCTGTGGCATTGTGTTGTGTGACAAAACTGCACATTTTAGAGTGGCCTTTTATTGTCCCCAGCACAAGGTGCACCTGTGTAATGATCATGCTGTTTAATCAGCTTCTTGATATGCCACACCTGTCAGGTGGATGGATTATCTTGGCATAGGAGAAATGCTCACTAACAGGGATGTAACCACATTTGTGAACAAAATTCTAGAGAAATAAGCTTTTTGTGCGAATGGAACATTTCTGGGATCTTTTATTTAAGCGCATGAAACATGGGACCAACACTTTCCATGTAGTTCAGTATAGATCATTCTAAGAAACAGCAACAGCCTAGTGCGTTTCTGTTGAGAGAGAGGTGGGAAATGCAGTCAGTGTGTTACACTGGACCAAAATAAGATCTGGGCCTGCGTTTCACATTCCACATGTAAACATGGGACCAACACTTTACATGTTGCGTAAATTTTTTTGTTCAGTATATAACGGCACAATAATTTTAATTCTGTTTTATTTTTTGTGGGCTTGGGCTCATATATAGGCCTATGCATATGCATTAGCTCTAATATGCATATGGATGTTTTGAATTAATCATCACCTTATAAAGTGCTATCCATTTCGTTGTGTTAGGCTTTGAAACAACATCCACAACAACCATGTTTTCCACTCAGTTTAACCTGTTGTTGAACATCTTTCTTTAAATTGATCAATCACAGTGAGGTGAGTTTTAAAAGCATGAAACTGTTTTGATAAGTGTTTGATGTGATTTTCGATTGTATTTGCATTGATGTGAGTGGTTAGAGGGACAATAGAGCCCTGAGCACCAGGCCATTAGCGACCTGATGATCGTTAGCTAGTTGGGTACTACCAACGCATGTCCAGAGTGCATAAGAGGAGAGGTGACTCAGTCACGTGGAATTTGACTGCGGTCATGACTCATGACTGCCAGTGTGACGGTAATACGGTCACCACAACAGCCTTACTCAAACATGGCCAATGCTTTCAACCACATAGCAGGAGAGCATTAAAGTCATTATAGGTTGTAAAACTATACACCGTGTGGTGTTTCAACTATTCACCATGACTCCCACAGCCCCAAGCAGGCAGTGGACCACTGGGTTGATCCTGGTGGTTATTGTCAGTCTATTTCTAGCCTACCAGAGTGGCTGGAAGGGTAGTACAGAGGTCGTTATCGCAATCCATGTGCATTGTTAGAATGCTGCGAGGAAATGGGCACCCAATCAATACTGATTATGCCGACAGCAGCCTAACTTTAACAATGCACTCTTGGGTGGTGTCAAAAATGGCACCCTATTCACTTTATAGTGCACTACTGTTGACCAGAGGCGCTGGTTTAAAGGAGTGCATTATATAAGAAATAGACAGAAATACAGAAAGAGAAGAAAACACCATTATACACTGGAGGTCCTGTATGCCTCAGTTGTTACAGCATGGCGCTTGCAATGCCAGGATTGTGGGTTCTATTCCTGGGACCACCCATACGTAAAATGTGTGCACGCATGACTATGTTGCTTTGGACAAAAGTGTCTGCTAAATCGCATATATTATTGAGGGAGGGAGATAGGGCAGTTCTGTTGCTTAGCGTCAATGACACTTACCTCTGAACGTTATTGGAGTGGGCTGTAAGATGAGAGTGAATGTGAGGGGTGTTGCGTGTTGGCAGTACCTGATTTCTCTCAGCCAGCTCCCTCCTCTGGTCCTCCTCTGTCTTTATCCTGTGGTTCAGGGTCGTGTTCTCCTCGGTGAGCTCCTGAATCTGGCCCTGAGGAACACCACATCATGAGGACATTATCACCTAACCTCTCCTGAGACTAAATAAATTGGAATATATTTTGATATGTGAAGCTGAAGCTTACAGATAAAGTGACTTCAGCCTCCTTCAGTCTTTTGTCCAATGTCTGCAGCTCCCGCTCATGAGCTTGACGGAGCTCTTGAAGAGAGATCACAGTTTAACAGAATTATAATGCAAGACAGTCAAAATCAGAAATACTTCTGATTCATCAAAGTTAAATGACTTTAACACACGTGCTGTGCTGATTTTTACCTCGCAGTAACTTAAGATTTGGTCTATAAAAAAACAACGGTGTACATGACAGGATGAATGTACCTTCTAGAGAGTCCTCACACTGCTGTTTAACTGCCTGGATCTGTTCAGAGTGGCTGGCCTCTTGCTCTAACATCACAGCCTCATGGCTGGCTCTCAACTCCCCCATCTTCAAAAAGAGAAGGAACATGGTTTTAGGAACATTTATGATCAATAAAAAAAGCAACGTATAAAAAGCTTATTACCACTTTATCTATTTCCCCAGAGTCAGATTAATTAGTGGATAACATTTTTATGTCTGCGTGCAGTTTGAAGGAAGTTGCTAACTAGCATTAATGCAATTGCCAACTAGCGTTAATGCAATTGCCAACTAGGGTTAATGCAATTGCCAACTAGTGTTAGTGCAATGACTGGAAGTCTATGGTAACTGCTAGCATGCTAGTAGATACCATAGACTTACAGTCATTGCGCTAACGCTCGTTAACACTAGCTTGTGAAACGCGCCAACTTCCTTCATACTGGATGCAGAGACCTAAAAATGGTATCCATGAGTTCACCTGACTCTGGGGAAGTAGATAAAGGGCTTCATTGCCAAAATCCCAAAGTATCCCTTTAACAGGTGCATTATTAATCATCACATCAATGATAACGGATGGATTATGCAAAGCCTTTAGGCCTACAACTAATTAAGATCAAATAAACCAACACGGTACAGACAGCCAAAAACACTTATTCCAAGCGAATAGAATTTCAATTCTATTCAGTAAGTCAGTTTGGGCTCTGGTCAAAAGTAGTGCACTACAAAGGGAATAGTGTGTAATTTGGGACGCACCCCGTCTCAGTAGAGTAACCTTCAGGACGAAACCAGCTTCACGCTGACAGTATACTGAAAAGCAATGTCCTCAGGTCTGATTTGTGGACTACTTTCAGCAGTGACCAATTTTCCTTGAAATGAATCTAGCTGAGTAGTATGCTCTGTGAATGACTCAACAGAATGACTGCAGAGGACCCTGACGGACTTTGTGTATGTCAGGAATGAAAGAATCTCTAAACAATCATCTCACTGTCACATAGACAGACACAGGACTGAGCCCTGAGAGACCGGGGGCTACACACAGTCATGTAATGTGTAGTTGTAACATGACTTGACACTCTGGGTGCATTTCAATCCTCTCAAGCCCTTCTCTACATTTTTACTGATCTGAAATAAACAGACTGGGTGAAAGCAATACTGCTTTCACTTCTCCAGTAGAAAGGAGGAACTGAGCCACTTTTAGCCTATTGGCATGCACTCAGTCTCTGTGTATGTCCCAAATGGCACCCTATTCCCTTTATAGTGCACTACTTTTGACCAAGGCCCATATGGATCTGGTCAAAAGTAGTGCACTATATATGGAATAGGGTGCCATTAGGGATGCATCCAGTAGCTTTATTGTACCTGCTGCTCCATTAAGGCCTTGCACCGGTCTGCCTCCTCCTGGTAGGTCAGATGGATCTTGTCCCACTCGGCCTGGTAGAACACCCTGAGCCTCTCCTCCAGCTGGGCCAGCTCCGTGTGGTGCTGCTCCTGCATCGTCTGAAGCTCGCCCTCCAATGCCCCACGCACCTCATCCTTCTCCCGCTCCAACAACTCACACGAGTGGGCCGAGTTTACTGCAGGGTGCCAGTAGGATCCACAGCAGACAGGAAATCAGTTAGTTTTGTGGAACTTTATTTTCTAATGGGAAATGTGTTTGTCTCATCTCTTATCAAAGAAGAACAGCATTAGATAAACTATGGCAATCCAACAGTCTAACAAAGGGGCTGAGAGGGCTAGTGGGTTCAGCACTGAGACTCCCAAAGTCATGTGTGCCTGCAATCTCTTAGTTGTGCTTATTGGATTTGTTTAATTGAATTTTTCAATGTGACTTTTCATGGTGGCTTATAGAAAGATGTAATATATCAAAATGTCAATGACGGTAAGGGACATCTAAAAATTCTGTCAGTTCTAATAAAAGGGAAATAAGAAGAGTGAAAGGACTTTCGGAACAACTGTTCAGCAAAACTCTTTTGAGGCTCATGTTATGACATATTGCATTGGAAAGTCAAATGCAGAAAAGAAAAGACAGATTACCCAGTGCCAGTCTCTGGCAGACTACAGAGCACATTGCCTTACTGGCAGGAAAAAGACATACCCGCGAGTTATCAAAAACACACTTTCACAATTGTCTGAAATCAGTGTCATGTCCTAGGATTTTTTTTATACTGACTCACTTCTGTCCTACTTGCATCATATGTCTGCTACAGTAGAACATTACAGTTTGAACATGGAAATGCTGCGGCTACTACTGTCTCTCTAACACAATGGACATGCTGCTGTTACTACTGTCTCTCTAACACAATGGACATGCTGCTGTTACTACTGTCTCTCTAACACAATGGACATGCTGCTGTTACTACGGTCTCTCTAACACAATGGACATGCTGCTGTTACTACTGTCTCTCTAACACAATGGACATGCTGCTGTTACTACTGTCTCTCTAACACAATGAACATGCTGCTGTTACTACTGTCTCTCTAACACAATGGACATGCTGCTGTTACTACTGTCTCTCTAACACAATGGACATGCTGCTGTTACTACTGTCTCTCTAACACAATGGACATGCTGCTGTTACTACGGTCTCTCTAACACAATGGACATGATGCCGTTACTACGGTCTCTCTAACACAATGGACATGCTGTTGGGGGTACTGGATGACAGGAGTTGGGAAACACTACTATAAACTAAGCAACAGACACATGGCTCTGGTGGGCCCTTGCGTGCTGTGCCACATTCCTGATGCCAGTGCCAGTGTGATGCCCAGCAGTTGGCCTTGCCAGCCCGTGAGGATTTCCGTTGGCTGGCGATGACATAAGAGTGGCAGCTGTGCACAACATGGTAGTATCTACTCTCGCCGTGTGTAGCAGGTGACATCCATATGGAGGTTGATTCCTGACACACAATCCTACCAGTATGAACAGAATAGCTCAATAGCTCTCGATTTACAAGTGGGCAGGGATGGATGGGTATTAAAGGCAACTTCCAGTTGTTGGCGCAATATAAATCATTGTAATTCTATGGTTGGTGCCCTTCTGCAGGCACGTCATAGAATATGAATGTTCTTATGCAATATGTTTAAAATGGTGGCAACCTTGCTAGATTTACAAAGAACATACAGTGAGGGAAAAAAGTATTTGATCCCATGCTGATTTTGTACGTTTGCCCACTGACAAAGACAAGATCAGTCTATAATTTTAATGGTAGGTTTATTTGAACAGTGAGAGACAGAATAACAACAAAAAAATCCAGAAAAACGCATGTCAAAAATGTTATAAATTGATTTACATTTTAATGAGGGAAATAAGTATTTGACCCCTCTGCAAAACATGACTTAGTACTTGGTGGCAAAACCCTTGTTGGCAATCACAGAGGTCAGACGTTTCTTGTAGTTGGCCACCAGGTTTGCACACATCTCAGGAGGGATTTTGTCCCACTCCTCTTTGCAGATCTTCTCCAAGTCATTAAGGTTTCGAGGCTGACGTTTGGCAACTCGAACCTTCAGCTCCCTCCACAGATTTTCTATGGGATTAAGGTCTGGAGACTGGCTAGGCCACTCCAGGACCTTAATGTGCTTCTTCTTGAGCCACTCCTTTGTTGCCTTGGCCGTGTGTTTTGGGTCATTGTCATGCTGGAATACCCATTCACGACCCATTTTCAATGCCCTGACTGAGGGAAGGAGGGTCTCACCCAAGATTTGACGGTACATGACCCCGTCCATCGTCCCTTTGATGCGGTGAAGTTGTCCTGTCCCCTTAGCAGAAAAACACCCCCAAAGCATAATGTTTCCACCTCCATGTTTGACAGTGGGGATGGTGTTCTTGGGGTCATAGGCAGCATTCCTCCTCCTCCAAACACGGCGAGTTGAGTTAATGCCAAAGAGCTTGATTTTGGTCTCATCTGACCACAACACCTTCACCCAGTTCTCCTCTGAATCATTCAGATGTTCATTGGCAAACTTCAGACGGCCCTGTATATGTGCTTTCTTGAGCAGGGGGACCTTGCGGGCGCTGCAGGATTTCAGTCCTTCACGGCGTAGTGTGTTCCCAAATGTTTTCTTGGTGACTATGGTCCAGCTGCCTTGAGATCATGGACAAGATTCTCCCGTGTAGTTCTGGGCTGATTCCTCACCGTTCTCATGATCATTGCAACTCCACAAGGTGAGATCTTGCATGGAGCCCCAGGCCGAGAGAGATTGACAGTTATTTTGTGTTTCTTCCATTTGCGAATAATCGCACCCACTGTTCGCAGCCCATTCCAGCCTTGTGTAGGTCTACAATCTTGCCCCTGACATCCTTGGAGAGCTCTTTGGTCTTGGCCATGGTGGAGAGTTTGGAATCTGATTGATTGATTGCTTTTGTGGACAGGTGTCTTTTATACAGGTAACAAACTGAGATTAGGAGCACTCCCTTTAAGAGTGTGCTCCTAATCTCAGCTCGTTACCTGTATAAAAGACACCTGGGAGCCAGAAATCTTTCTGATTGAGAGGGGGTCAAATACTTATTTCCCTCATTAAAATGCAAATCAATTTATAACATTTTTGACATGCGTTTTTCTGGATTTTTTTGTTGTTATTCTGTCACTCACTGTTCAAATAAACCTACCATTAAAATTATAGACTGATAATTTCTTTGTCAGTGGGCAAACGTACAAAATCAGCAGGGGATCAAATACTTTTTCCCTCACTGTATAGGATCTCTATGGCAACCTTCATAAAACAAGAAATGTTCCCCACAGAACAGTACTGTGTACCTTTAATACAGATCAGTGATTAGATGGTATTCACACGTCAAAAGGATTGGGGGACTAATTGCCCCTCAGTTGACACTGCAACAGCTCAGAGAAAGTGTCAGGAGAATGGGGAATTTGAGGCTCTTTATCATGTGTACCAGTCAGCCATGTAGTCCATCTAGAACTACGTCTCAGGCAAAAATGCCCAGCAGAACGTTTCTACCCCTGACATGAGACAAACAGCTAAACATAAATAAAATGTAAAGAACAAGCTCAAGTCTAGAGTACAGAAAAGATAGGTCTAGGATAGGGGACCCTGACGAGGGAGGCTGTGGTTGTTACAGAGATGGTATATCACCCTGTGAGCCAGGGAACTGGCTCTGGTGATTCTGCAGCTATGGGCACTTTTGGCATTTAAAAAATAAATAAAATAATCACAAAGATACAAGATTTTACTAAAACACCTTCTGCTGATATCATTACACCTTCTGCTGATGTCATTAACATTCCATGTTAGTTTAAAACGTAATAACAAACATAATGGGTTTTTGGATTATTTGGTTTATCTGTCTATAGGATTTGGTACTACCACATTAAGAAATACTGTAATTATTTTTATTCCTTAATTCATAAATATTGGCCTGCTCTGGCTGTGCTTGTATACCTGCATGGAGGCTACCTTCAACAATGCAATTTCTTGTTGAAATTGTTAAACATTTATCATTTTTCCAGTAGTTATATTGGGTGCTTTCCCATGGAGGACCCGTATGGAAAAAAAGTATGAAAATGTATGCACTCACTACTGTTAATAGCTCTGGATTAGAGCGTCTGCTAAATGACTAAAATGTAAAAAATTGTTACAATGTTTTAGCCGTTGCAGTAATGACGCAGAATAAAAAATATTCTCTTATCTTGACATAATCAAAGTGACATTTCTTGGAGGTGGAGATAAAATATCACTCTCCATGTCATATCCTTGTTCTCCACTGTCACTTCAGTTATTTTGTGACTTGACGTGTAAAATGTTGACTTAACACTATAATTGATCATTTTGTTCAGAGTGATGGTAATGACGCAATACTGTGAGGCGACTGTATTGTGTTTAAAAAAAGTTACAAATGGCTTATGCACATCAAATATTTATATAGTATCCATTTATTTGACTCTTTCTAAACAGGTGCATTAAATATTTTCTAATTATAAAATTGTCTAAGTGTAATATATAAAATAATATCAAAAGTCTGGGTGTGCGAGACAAGGCTGGGTGCGAGACAAGGCTGGGTGTGAGACAAGGCAAAAACAGTGCAAAACAGTGAAATCCAGACATTATATGCTTTAGAAAATAAACAAAAACACATTGGAAAGTTGAAAAATATATATAATAATCTGAAAAAAATGGAAAAAGATAGATTAAATTAAAATAAATGAAATCTACCCCTGGTACACAAAAAAGCCTGTAGTTGCAAAATTGTGTGTAATTCAAGCTGCACAGCTCAACACGTGCTCCATTCTCCACGGGAGGAAATGCCAAAAACACTGAAGAATACTAGTGAAGGAGTAAAGACTGCATTCAGCCTGGACAGGGCATACGAGGCCACAGCACACTCCTACCCAATTCTTTCTCTGGCTCACTGTGACTGTGTAGTAGTAGGGATAAGGCTGCCTCCACCACATTCAACTAACACCGGGAGGAGAAAATAGAACCCCAGACCTACAGAGACAGAGCCCAAACAAATGGGGCATATTCATCAGGTTGTGGCATGCACTACAGCCCTAGAGATTGAGCCCTGCACTCCACATGCATGATGTATAACAGGGGATATGGTCATAGGAGCCAGGCTAAATTCATCACACTAAAAATGAAATGTAAAAACACACTGTAAAGGCCCATCTGGGGATTGGGGCTGAAGCCATATCTAAATGTTAACGGTCTTGGATTCTTGTCAGGGTGAGGGCTTTGAGTGGTTTTGAATGCGCCCCAATTACGGACACTGTAGGTGGTGAGGCAAGGAAAAAACTATAACGCACTTGTAATACTTATTGGTGAAGAGTGTTAATATGAAGGGATAGTATGTCATGAAACTGGAGGTGGCCCAAACAGACAATGCAGTACACTATGATTAGTCAGCCGCTGTGAGTGGAGCGGTGACATCATTGGGGGAGCAAGCCCATACTGGCCATGTTGAATACTGTCTGAGGGATTGGGTAAATTATAACCTATTCCCAGGGCCTATACAGGGCTCTAGTCAAAAGTAGTGCACTATATAGGAAATAGGGTACCATTTGGGATGTAAACACTGAGTGTTGGGCTCAGGAGAAATGCCTTGTCTGTAGA